CACCCACTTCTACTTCCCCTACCAATTCTTCCCTGTTTGTGAGCAGCAGGTCAAGAGGAGCACGGCCCCTAGTTGTTTCCTCCAGCACTTGCACCAGCATGCTGTCCCCAACACTCTCCAAAAACTTCCTGGATTGTGCACTGCTGTATTGCTCTCTCAGCAGATTGAAGTCCCCCAGAAGAACCAGGGCCTGTGATCTGGAAACTTCTGTTAGTTGTCCGAAGAAAGCCTCGTCTACCTCACCCTCCTGGTCTGGTGGTCTATAGCAGATGCCCCACCATGACATCACCCTTGTTGCTCTCGCCCCTACACTTAACCCAAAGGTTCTCAACAGACTTTTCTCCAGTTTCATACTGGAGCTCTGAGCAATCATACCACTCTCTTACGTACAGTGCAACTCCTCCAACTTTTCTCCCCTGCCTGTCCTTCCTGAACAGTTTATACCCATCCATGACAGTGCTCCAGTCATGTGAGTTACCCCACCAAGTCTCTGTTATTCCAAACACATCATAGTTCCTTGACTGTGCCAGGACTTCCAATTCTTCCTGCTTGTTTCCCAGGCTTCTTGCATTCGTGTACAGGCACCTAAGATAACTAGCCGACTGCCCTACTTTCTCAGTATTAATCAGAAGGGATGATCCATTGAGTAATTAAATTTTAAATTACCTGTTTATCATCTAAACCACCAATATATGTGTAATTGGGCATCAGACAATGCTACTGCCAGTTAAGATGATGACCACTTTAGTTTAAGGTAACAAAATGGTCAAGAAACCTATTATGTGTTCAGAAGCGATAAACACATCACAAGAAACAGAGAGAGGACTAGCTACTGATCAAACACTGCCCACGTGTTTCATATAGTCAGGCCTCTAACCTGTTCACACTAGTCCACTATGAAGTCTGTTATTTTGTAACAAATTATTTGTGCTCCTACTTTACAATTTCAATGTTCAGCAGTGAACTCTCATATCCACGCACAACATATTTAATCATGTAACCATGATTAGCTTCTTAGAAGAATGTGGAATTTGGAATCCAGAGTATGGAACCTAGTATTAACGATTAGGTAAACGATACACAAGGGAAGTATAACAAATTTGATAGGATTCTTTATCAAGACAGGAAAAACATTTTAGCCTCAAGTGAAAATCCAAGCAAACTGATGGATTAGCCAGGATTCCATGGTGTGGATGGAGAACATTGAGAATAAAATATTAATCATAGAAAGCAACTGCTGAACATTCATATCCCCCCTCCCCCCAGTTCATGTGTTTCTCTTTTCATTCCTTCTGCAACTGCATTAGATTAAATATCTGTTAGGACAATCAATTCTAGAGCGCCCTATGTAAAGATCTAAACTCCATTAGTTTAAATTGGCAGCAATGTTCCCGCAGTAAAAGCCAGTCTTTTCTAGGATATTGTATTCAATTTCAATATTCAGTGTCAATTAGAAAACTCTGTCCTTCGAATCTGCATAATAATATAAGGCTTTTGAATTAATCATTAAATTAACAGTAAATCTGTAAATAAATCCTGTCAATTTAATAAGATTTACTTCATACTGAAAAACTAGCTATAATTTACATCATAAAGAAGGTTGATCATGCCATCAGTGTAATCAAAATGAGTATGTTAATATGTAGTTACTTTTTTGTGTGCAACTTTACTTAATTACACTTAAAAAGCCCTCTACAGTTAAAAGACTGTAGGTTGCAAAGTCAAGACACAAAATTTAAGATATTCCAGAATTAAGATTGCCTGTGCAACCTTAATCCTCCAATCCTCCTTCTTGTACATATACATTATGATACAGTCTTTAATTACATGATCACTCGCTATTTTTAAACACAGTATCCCTGCCTCATTCAGTGCACAGAATGGATGGTGCTCACTGAATGTGCAGCTATTCAATATTTTGCTTTCTCCTCATCGTTCAATGTGTGGCCCCAGGCCTTATTTTCTGCACACTATTCAAACCCTGCTCTGAATGATTAATTTCCTCCTGCACGCTTCTATGAAGCTAATACTATGAGTATTTGACAAATATTAATGAATTTATTTTCACAACCTTCTTTGAGATAAAGCTGCATTATCCCCATTTTACAGATGGGAAACTGAAGTTGAGAGAGATAAAGATCAAAAGTGTACACTGGATGCCCAATTTGAGATGGCTAAGGCCTGATTTTTTCAGAATGCTTTGCATTTTATACAACTTTATATACTCAAAGCACTGTTTCCAGTGACTTCAGTTGCAGTTGTGAGTACTTAGCCCCTGGATCTCAAGCAGAGCACCAAGAAAAAGTAACACACGATTAGTAGTAGCCACTTGCAAAATTTTTGGTTTAAGTGACTTTCCCAGAACCACATAAGAACACTCTGGAAGAGGCAGGGATAGAATCCAGTTCTCCAGGGCAACACTCAGCTGTCTTAACCATGAGACTGTCCTTCCTGTTCCTGCAACCCCCTGCCTCGTTCACCGTGCACCTTCCAATTTCTGCAACAAATGAAGCAGGAGTCCTACAGACAACAGCCTTCTTCACTACAAACCCCTGATTCATCCCCAGAGCACCATCCATCCTGTACAATGAATAAGGCAGGGACCTGGGGGGGAGGGGAGGGGGAGATAGCATGTGATCATATAATTAGAGGCTGTATCATAATGCATATGCACAAAGTGACTGAATTAATGTTGAACAGGCAATCTTAATTCTGGAATTTCTTAAACTTTTGAGGGCTTGACTTTGCAACCTTAATATTCTTTTAATCTAGATGTGTGTGTGTGTAACTTCCCTTGATATTTTATAAAAGAAAACTGAAAAGACATCACATACTGACTTGTACAAACCAGTTCTTGGAACCAGCTGAACTGTTTTTGTTGAAACTTTTATATATGTATATGTATATGTATGTATAAAAAATCAGCCTGAAGCAAGTATGCAGAATGGAAAATTTCAGCCCAAACAATTACATTTTGGCAAAATTAAAAGCAACTGAAAACAGGGGTTATAATAATACAATATAATAGAATCATAGGACTGGAAAGGACCTCGAGAAGTCATCTAGTCCAGTCCCCTGCACTCATGGCAGGACTAAGTATTATCTAGACCATCCCTGACAGATGTCTGTCTAACCTGCTCTTAAAAATTTCCGATGATGGAGATTCCACAATCTCCCTAGGCAATTTATTCCAGTGCTTAACCACCCTGACAGTTGGGAAATTTTTCCTAATGTCCAACCTAAACTGTTCTTGTTGAAATTTAAGCCCATTGGTTCCTGTCCTATCCTCAGAGGTTAAGGAAAACAACTTTCCCCCCTCCTTCTCGTAGCAACCTTTTATGTACTGAAAACTGTTATGTCCCCTCTCAGTCTTCTCTAGATTAAACAAACCCACATTTTTCAATCTTTCCTCATAGGTCATATTTTCTAGACCTTTAATAATTTTTGTTGCTCTTCTCTGGACTTTCTCCAATTTGTCCATATCTTTCCTGAAATGTGGCACCTAGAACTGGACACAATACTCCAGTTGAGTTAGGGCTAATCAGTGCGGAGTAGAGAAGAAGAATTACTTCTCATGTCTTGCTTACAACTCTCCTGCTAATACATCCCAGAATGTTTTCTTTTTTTGCAACAGTGTTACACTGTTGACTCATCATTTAGTTTGTGGTCCACTATGACCCCCAGATCCCTTTCCGCAGTACGCCTTCCTAGGCAGTCATTTCCCATTTTGTATGTGTGCACCTGATTGTGCCTTCCTAAGTGGAGTACTTTTGCATTTGTCGTCACTGAATTTCATCCTCTTTACTTCAGACCATTTCTCCAGTTTGTCCGGATCATTCTGAATTAATGGGAAGTGTCGAGCAACCTTAACTAGATGACACTACCAGTTCCTCCCATGATTCTACTGAGACAGATAATTCTGCACCACTGAAGTCCCCCCCGGACCCCCCCCCCAATGGCATCAACTTTTGTGACAATCTTGGGTAAAACAGTTAAAATCTACACATTCAGTTCAATGACTCAAATCAAAATTTTTAAATCTGCATTAGTAAAAGATTACTTTTAAGAGCAGATATTAATTTCATTCAGATGTGGTATTAAAAAGTACCAGGATGGCTTCACAAATACATTTCTCTCATGAATCACCAGATTAATTAACTGGACTTTTTTAATGATTCAGTAGAACAGAACTGCACACTAAGATGTGTCTTGCCAGTTCCCAGTCAACTAGGACTGTTATTTTATTCTGATCAAGCAGTTGTTTTTTTTTTAACCCCATACCTGGAGATGAACTGGAAAGTATTAAATACTTCGTAAGTAGTAAAAGGGAAGGTCCTTAGACTAGTATTTCTCTATATTGTTTGGCATTGTTGAACCTAGGGTCATGGTAGATTCTCTATCTCTAGCAATTTTTAAACCAAGATTGGATTTTTGTTTAAAAGATATGCTATAGGAACTATTTGGGGGGAACTTTGATGGCCCATGTTATACAGGAAGGAGGTCAGACTAGATGATCACAATGGTCCTTTTTGGCTTTGGAATCTATGAATCCTTGTACATTTTATTTTTTGTTGCTGAACTACTGTTACTATGCTACACCTACACATTTTCTTATAACTTTCACCTTTTCAGAATTGCAGTTAGAGCTGTTAAAAAGTGACCAGATTTTTACAAAAAATCCCAATGAATTTCAAAAGAAAAAATGGCAAAGAAGTCTTTCATAATCATTCCATTATATATTAGCAATGAAGCAAAATAATCATGAAAAACAAGCATTAAAACATCAATGATAAAAGATGCTATAATAGTTTGAGGGCATTTGAAAAGAGATCTAGGAATTATAGAGTAAAATCTCTGAAAAACAACTTTAAATGAAATCTTGGTAAATGTTAAGAAAAACCAGATGAGAAAACAGTTTGTAATTAAACATCAGATTTTTAAATCTCAATTCATCTCAGCCTCTGTTAGAATAATTACACAGTTATTAAACAGATATTTACCTGTTGGAATGAGACAATCTTTCCAATCAAAATATCCTGCATAAATGCCAGGTTCTAATGAGCCAACTATAGGATCTGCCTTCAATTCAATGTAAATTTCAAACAGTCTTTGATCCAACTCCTTTAAGGATTCCATACTAATCTAAAATCAAAGCAAAAAGAAAAGCACACTTAATTATAAAAGCAAGAATAATAATCAACAATTTATGGTTTGTCTTCTCTTTAATTTTTAGGAAACATGCCATATGCTTACAACCTTATAATTTTAAGCAATATCTCTTTGACTGTAAGAATTTCCATATTGAATCACATCACTGGGCAGACTAGTCCAGTATCCCTTTTCTGACTGTGGCCAGTACCAGATGCTTCACAGAAAGACGTAAGAAACTCCATAGTGGAGAATCCTGGAATAACCTTCCCATAAGCATAATTTCTTCCTAATTCTGTCATTTAGGTATTGATCCTGCATCACTGAAGGCAGTGAATTTTACTAGTGACTTCAATGGGAGCAGGATCAAGCCTTTAGTGGCTGGCTTATGTCCTGAAACATGAATGCTTAAAATCCTTATAATATTTTTAACCCACCTAATGTAACTATGGATTTTTTTTTATTATTCATTGTATATAGAGTTTAATCCTTTTGAAAAATTCGGTTTCACCAGAGATCTGTGACCTCCTAGCAGCTTATTCAAAGTTCATTGCAAGTACACCTCTACCCCGATATAACGCGACCCGATATAACACGAATTAGAATATAACGCGGTAAAGCAGTGCTCAGGGGCGGGAGGAGGGAGGGGGAGAGAGCTGCGCACTCCAGCGGATCAAAGCAAGTTCGATATAATGCGGTTTCACCTATAACGCGGTAAGATATTTTGGCTCCCGAGGACAGCGTTATATCAGGGTAGAGGTGTACTATTTTAAAGTATCCTTGTACAACAAAACAATAAGCTGCAGCTCTTTTGGGTACAGTATAGAACAAGGACGTGCTCTTCTTTCCTTTGTGTGAATACAGCTAAATACAAGCACTACAATTACTGAAACCTCCAAATAAAGTAACTAAACCGTCAAACACTCTTACAAAAAGATTAGTCAATGAGATACATGTATGTGTACGTTTCACTTGCTCGCTATATTTAAAGACTGTACCTCTTTCAATACTGTACAAGTATTTTCTTCTTAATATAACTACACAAGACAGCTACATTTTCTAAAGCAATTCCAGAACATAATGTGAAACCTGAAATGTAGACAATACTAAAAGTAGTAGAAAGTTAACATCCTGATATCACCATGAATGCTAATTAAACAAGTCATGCAGAAAATGACATGGGACCACTTGTTGAAGATATTTATGTTTATGAGCTTATCAGATTTCAAGGTAAAATTTTTTAAATGTCACTCAGCACGTTTCTCAGTCACTGTGAGGTTTAGGGACTTCCCCTCTCACCTGAACACCTCTCATCCTGGAAGGCTCAAGACCAATCCAGGAGAACAGAAGTAAAAGGCAGGGGGGGAAAAAAAGCCCTAGCACTTCACTGTCTTCTTCCCATGGAGACTTATCAGATAGGAGTCCCCGTGCTGAAAACCACTTGAAGATTCACTGAATGAAGCAAGGAGGAAATCATTGATGCTTCTGTTGCTCTGCCTTCTCCTACTACACCCCTAATCTGTTCCTGAGCACTCTAATCACAAATCACTGGGTCCTGATGGTGGTGTAGATGGGGACAGGAGGTCTCTTGAGCTGGATATGGGGAGAGAAACAGGAGTTCTGGAGGGGAATGTGAATATGGGAGAAAGCAGGTATATTGGTGGGAGCATGGAGGCTCCCAGCAGCAGAGGAGTCCAATGGGAGAAATTGGTGCTCAGGAGCAGCATACACTAGTGCTTTCCTGCTTTCTCCACCTAGTGAACCTTCTGAGCGGTGTCAGAAGTGAGTCCAACAGCTGAGAACCACAAATTCATGAGGGCAGTGAGAACTGGCCCTCAGGAAAAGGTCAGGGATGCAATTCCTTCCCTCCCTACCACCCACTTCCCGTGGGATTTCTGAAGTCTGCAAAGGGGAGAACCCTCACGGAGACCTACCCCACCTCTTCCTGCTCCTGCCTATGTGAGTCTTAAGATTGGCAGCCTCCCTCATGAGCCCTTTAATAGAAAAATCTCCCCCACCACCCGCATGAACAAATGGACAAGTGACAGGTTACATTTTCAGCTTTATCTCTGTAAGGAAAAGGGATAGTGATTTACTTATTTTAAAATACAAGCTAAGGTCTCTATTTTCATGTCCATGAGCCAGTCATTCCTACTGATGTTCCAATTCAAAAGCAAGGAAGTTTAGAATCTAAAGAACAAAAGTTTGTTCTTGTGCATAAAACCCATAGTTTTATATTTCTCTGGATTTGTTTTTTTCGGGGGTGGGGGTGGGGTGGGGGGGGGGGAGAGAGGGCTACGAAATGGCATACTTACCTAGCCCCTTTTCCATTTCAGTTCATACTGTATAGAAAAATTCTACCTCAGCACCAGATCTAACCTACTAAATATGAGACACACAAGGTAGGTAAGGTAATACCTTTTATTGGACCAACTTCTGTTGGTGAAAGAGAGAAACTTTAGAGCTCCAAATATCAATATTGAAGGACATTATCTTACCCACCCTGTCTCTCTCATATCCAGGGAGTAACATAGATACAACAACACTGCAAACCACTAACTATGAGGTAGATATAGTTTTTTAGTGTGGATCTTAGTGTGGAGGTGTGTGGAGTTGGAGGTTATAATGGAAACTCATTTGTAATTTTAATTATGGAGCAACAGCTCAAACTTATATTCCCACTTTCTCAAGCATTAGTTCATTCTGCCTTTTATTTCACCCTCATCTTCATTCTGCAAGCTTTAACTGACTCCATATATTATTTGTTTGCTTCTATCCTTTCCACGTCCAGTACAGTTTTGGTTTGTTTTTAGCCATATGACTATGTTTGGTTCTTCAGCCATGAATTCTCCATTACAAATGCCCTCCAACTTCTGGAGTCCTCAAGAGTTCAAGTCTGGGTCTGTGTGATTTGGAAAGAACTGTGTACACTTACAAGACTCCATAAGAAAGAGATGTGTGTATTCATCTTCAATTAAAATAATATATAAATATATATATGCAAATTAATGGTGGCACTCAGGATCTTGGGAAGCTGCCAATTTGGCCCTCTGTGCTATAAAATTTGCACATCACTGATGCAGAGCCAGGTTTTCAAAACAGTGGTCAAGTAATTTGATTTTAGTCATTCTATGGGCAATGAACATCATGCAACTTAGGGCCTCTCTGATGCCCACTGAACTCAATGGTAAGGTTTCCTTAAGTATCTAATACCCAAGGGAATTCCCCTGACTCACAAACATTAGAAAGAAGCATTAATATTCTCACTAACCTATAAAAAAGAGAAGCATCTTGAAATCAATTCAACTGGTAACATTTAGTGATGAGGTCATCATGGCTGCGATTAGTGAATCTTTTGGTCTTTTATAAAAAAGGAGGATTTCTTTTGGACAGAAATGTTTTAGACTATTTCCACCTTAAAATGAAATATTTCTGGGTCAATCAAGAAGATAATGCTAATTAGGTTAGATCTTACACTCCTGACTGAAGTCAGGCTCTGCTCTGTACTTCCTAAAACTGTTAAGTTAAAAAATCTTTCAGGGCTTTGGCAGGTTTCCCATAAAAAGTGTTTAGTGTTTTAAGATGTGTAAAACTCCTCCCTGGAATTGCTTGATTACATCTACAATACAGTATGGTGCATCCTCTTGATTTGGCAAAGACAGATTGTGCAAGAATAAGGTTACAGGCTGTGGTTGTTGGTTCCCCCATCTAAGCTTATCTGTGATACTGCAACACAACAGTGTAATTCTACTTAACTATAGGAGAAAGGAGATTTGTCACTAGACAGTAGCTGTCACTGCCTACACTTCCATTTATCTGAACTCACTCCTGAATGGCTGAAAATAACACTTCATCTGATAATGCATCTGTGTAAACCTATTACAAGAGAATGAAAGACTGAAAGTACTTTGAATAAACAGAAAAAAGTACAGTGATTATAAACGTTGAGTGCCTGATGGCATTCACATGGAAATATAACTAGATGAGTCAGCTCATAGACTCATAGACTTTAAGGTCAGAAGGGACAATCATGATCATCTAATCTGACCTCTAATCTGTCCATGAGGAATCAGTGGACACAGCAACTCCCAAAAACTACAACTGCAGCCAAAATACTATTCTATTTTCTTTCACGGTATTTGTGCAATAGTAGCATGTTGCCTGACCTCCAACAAGTTATCTGTTCAGTACTTAATATGAAACATTAATATTAATCAATTAGCACTCAATGTATGTTTTAAACACTGTTGTTTTCTAAACTGGCTACCAAATGAACTCTTAGAAGGATAATCTAACTATCCATCTAGGTACTAATATAGCCCTCATGATCACCCTATGAACATTTATATAACGGCCATGCTGGGTCAGACCAATGATCCATCTAACCCAGCATCCTGTCTTCTGGTCGTGGCCAGGGCCTGAAGCTTCAGAAAGAATGAACAGAACAGGGCAATTATTGGATAATTCAGCCCCTCTCAGCCAGTCTCAGCTTCTGGTAATCAGAGGTTCAGAGACACCAAAAGCACGGGGTTGTGTACCTGATCATCTTGGCTATAGACTTTGATGGACCTATCCTCCATGAACTTACCTAATTCTTTTTTCAACCCAGTTATACTTTTAGCCTTTACAATAGCCCCCGGCAACAAATTCCACAGGTTGACTACGCATCGTGTGAAGAAGTACTTTGTTATGTTTGTTTCAAACCTACTGCCTATTAATTTCATCGGGTGACTTCTGGTTCTTGTACTGAGAAGGGGTAAATTACACTTCGCTATTCACTTTTTCCACACCATTCATGATTTCATAGACCTCATCATAACCCCCCTTCAGTCATCTCTATTCTAAAGCAATCTTTTTTGATATCTCCTCATATGGAAGCTGTTCCATATCCCTAATCATTTTTGTTGCCCTTCTCTATACCTTTTCCAATTCTAATATCTTTTTTGAGATGAGACAACCAGAACTGCACACAGTATTCAAGCTGTGGGTGTACAATGGAGTTATATAGTGGCGTTGTGATATTTTCTCTCTTATTATTTATCCCTTTCCTAACATTGTTAGCTTTTTTGACTCCTGCTGCACATCGACCTGATGTTTTCAGAGAACTATCCATGATGATTCTAAGAACTCTTTCTTGAATGGTAGCAGCTAATTTAGAGCCCATAATTTTATATGAATAGTTGGGATTATTTTTTCCAGTGTGAATTACTTTGCACTTATCAACATTAAATTTCATCTGCTATATTGTTGCCCAGTGACCCAATTTTGTGAAAATCTTCAGAGTCAGCTTTGGACCTGTCTTCAGTAATTTTGTATTGTCTGCAACTTTGCTACCTCTATGTTTACCCCCTTTTCAAGATCATTTATGAATACGTTGAACAGCACAGGTCCCAGTACAGATCATCAGGGGACCCCAATATTTACCTCTTTCCATTGTGAAAACTCATCATTTAATCCTACCCTTTTTCTTCAATCTTTTAACCAGTTACTGATCCAGAAGAGGACCTTCCTTATTATCACAATTGCTTACTTTACTTAAGAATCTCTGGTGTGGGAGATTTCTGAAAGTCCAAGTACACTACATCAACTGGATCACCTTTGTCCACACACTGTTGTTGACACCCTCAAAGAATTCTAATAGATTGGTGAGGCAGGACTTCCCTTTTCAAAAGCCGTGTTGACTCTTCCCCATCATATCGTGTTCATCATTGTGTCTGATAAGTCTGTTCTTTACTATAGTTTTAGCCAGTTTGCTTGGTACTGAAGTTACATTTGCTGGTCTGTAATTGCCAGGATCACTTCTAGAGCCTTTTAAAAATATCAGTGTTACATTATGTATCTTCTAGTCATCTAGTACAGAGGCTGATTTAAACAATGAGTTACATACCACAGTTATCAGTTCTGCAATTTCACATCTGAGTTCCTTCAAAATTATTGGGCGAATACCATCTGGTACTATATATACCAACTAGTACTTTATATATGTACTGTATGTACAGTACTGCATTGTCCACGGTCATTAAAGGGTTAATATAGATTTTAAATTGTTCAGTGACTTCAATGTTTGAATTTTGTTCTTTATAAAAATACCAGATTTTAAGAACAATACTTTGATGTGGCTGTTCAAGATCAATTGCTGAATATATAATGGGCACCTCATTTGCCTATATAGTCACCACACTACCAGTACCTAACTCAGCACTTTATTAAGCATTTCAGGATAGTTGAGCGTGAAGGGAGAAATCTAGAGCAATTTTGTATACTATACTAACAATGCAAATAATTTCAAACCCCATTTGAATGATATTCAAAATGATTCCAGCCACAAAAGTTCAAACACATTCACTGGAACGGCTATGAGAGTTCATTGTGTAGTAGAAGCATCAGTTTGTAGAGAAATACTCTGTACTGGAAGAGATAACATTTTACTTTCAAACAACAAACATTTCTGGAAATAAACCAACTATATGGCCATAAAGATTCTAAGTCATAACATTTCTCATAAAAAATGATTAATCATTACAAAAAGGCAGGAAAATGAGACATCTATAGCCGCCCACCTTGACATTTTCGTTCTTTGAAAAAAAAAAATCCCTGATCTAGTTTATGAACAAGAGCTGTCAAGTGGTAGAGATTACTAGATTATTTAATCTATCAAATGTATTTTGAGATTATGATCTTTTTATTCTTTGCATTAAGAAAACACAGTGACATTAAAAAGCTTTACTTAGAAATCAGATAAACATTGCCTATGAACATACAAGTCTTTAACAAGTGCTCACATTTGCTACACTATTTATTTAAACCACACACATAAACACACATAGACATATTAATTATTATTATTATTATTGTTTTTTTAAACAGATGCTTTAAATCCCACTCACTTGTAGGAGGGTCAAGTAATATTTATTCTGGGTGATTGTACAAATACTTAATTTAATACCTGTGAAAAGGAAAAAAAATCTTTCCATCCAAAGTAATGATACATCTGTAGCAATTTTATTTTAATATTATTGCTTACTTGAGTTATTTTTTCAACTCCTTGGAAGCTATGTTTCTCAAAGTGTTCAGCTATATTTATGAAAGTATGACGTTCCAGGTAGCAGCAATTACTGAGTACAATTAAAAGCCTTTGCTCCTAAATCAAGAGATGTTTTAAGAAAGAAAAATGAACAGTAATTAGGAAATATCTAGGATAACTGTGCATTATTATGTTTATACACATTTTGATCATGGAAAATGTTTTGTTGACTTAAATGACAACAGTCATATGATAAGCATGCTGATAAATAAAATATAGCTAACAAATAGTTTTGTAAACAAAATCCTAAGAACTGGTCAACACTGGGTGCAATGATTCAATAAGGGCACTTTTTCTTATGGGCTCTGATGTCTGAAAGTATTCACTGGAATAATTGTGACTAATATAGCTCTGTGATTCAGATCCCATTCCAAAAAGTAAGCCACAAACAGCTTTCCAAGAAGTGGTTTCTGCATTTTACTGGTTTTTTTCTAGTAACCTGTTAAAAATGATGACCGCCATAAAATATAACCAAAATCTTCACTTTCATATGAAACTGCCTGAAGAATTCGGTTTTAACATTCGAGCAAAGGAAGCAAAACAGATATTAAACAAATGCATTCCCATCCTCCAAATTAAACTAAATCAAAGACTGACAGAACTCAATCATTTCTGCATATAATTTGAAACATTGTAAGTCATCTCTGCGCTCCAATTATTTTGTTTTAAAAATCAAATATGGTTCAAAACAGATATTGAATTAGGTTATATCAGGACTGTTGGTCCATAAGACTGGTGCAACAATATGATACCTGTGAGAGAGGCAAGGTCTAGTTTTTCCTCAGGAGGTAATTGGGAGATAGGAACTTTCAAATTATAAATTCAGCTCTGGTGGTGACTTTTTGTGCAAGTCACAAATTTGTGTGCAAGTCACAAATTGCTCAGTTTCCCTACCTGTAAAAGGTGGAAAATACTTACCTACCTCAGAAGAGAGTTCAGGACAATCATTTGCAAAGTGCTTTAAAAATGAAAACTTTCTGAGGATAAATTACCATAGTGAGGTGTGAAGGAAGTCAATATCTTATTAAGAATGAGATTTGCAATTCCTGATAAATTCCCAACAGTCTTATCAACCAGTAATGAACTACAACGATTAGTGTAATAAATGTGTACCCATTAACCTGCTTACTACTTTGATGAATTTATCATTATTTGTATGTACAATATTAAACACAAACTGTCAAAAAACAATGAAAAATCCTAGGCTTGTCACTTAATACTCTCTGTGCCTCAGCTACTCCATTTGTAAATGGGGGATAATAATCCTTATTGATACCTTATAATGTTTTGAAATCTATAGATTAAAACTCTTTTAAGTGCCAAATATAGAAATTGATACTCTTTCCTACTTTTGTTTATTAATATCTCATTTGAAGCTTCAAAATAATTCTTAACCAAATTTATTTTTCCATTGTATAAGCCATATGGCTGGTCAAAAGTATTGGGTTACTGGCAATGATTTTTTTTTTTGCTAAAAAAGCACTGAACCATTTGTTTGGGAGGAAAAAACCCTCAAAACGTCACACGGACTTCAATAACACAGGAAAATAAAATAGGATGATAGCAGTTAATGAATGTTCACACAGTACTTGGAGAGTTAAAATGATATAAGTACTACATTATTATTAAATTTCAGAATTTAGAACTCTGGGTCTAATCCTACAAGTCTTTGCTCACTAATTGCAGTTAGACTACTCATGAAAGTAAGGGCTGGTCTACACCCAGCCGCTAGTTCGGCGGCTGGGGATCGAAGTTCCGGGTTCGACTTATCGCGTCTGGTCTGGACGCGATAAGTCGAACCAGGAAGTGCTCGCCGTCGACTGCGGTACTCCAGCTCAGCGAGAGGAGTACCTCGGAGTCGACGGGGAGCCTGCCTGCCGCGTGTGGACCGCGTCTGAACCGCGGTAAGTTCGAACTAAGGTATGTCGAATTCAGCTACGTTATTAACGTAGCTGAATTTGCGTACCTTAGTTCGAATTGGGGGGTTAGTGTGGACCAGGCCTAAGGGATATAGTTTCTAAATTCTGCAGGAAATAGATTATTACAAACATAATAAGAGCTTCAAATTCATTCTTTGAGAGGCATAACTTTATATGTTTCAATAGCCCTTGTGCTGGGGGCATGTACTCTATGGGAATGCATTAGTTCAAATAACTGGGAGCCCAACTTGCACACAAAAAAATGCAACATTAGGAATTTTATGGAAAAGCAACTTTTTCTAGTCTCTTATTCACAACACATTCTACTGTAAGGAAGAGACTCACCAAGGCAAACTACATTATTTTTACACATTTATCTCTACACATTTATCTCTATGTTCTAAAAAAAAAAAAAATATATTTAATTATCTGTTTTAGGAATAAGGTTATTCGCACTTGAGTTTTAACTAAACATCAAGGGCCAGATCCTGAATTGGTATAAATTAGTGCTACCTTCATTGACGTCAATAGAGCTATGCCAGTTTATACCCATTGAGGACCTCGCTCCAACCCTTATTTTTTTAATAAAATTCATGCGTAAGAATTTGTAGGAAATACACTGAATACCGAACAATCCAAAGCTCGAAATACCATTAATATTAGCTTTTCTGATAATCTTGTAGTTAGTAAAGTTTGATATTATTTTGAAAAATGTGACTTAGGAATACACAAATGCATTACAAAAGACACACAGTAAAAGATAAAAGCCTTATTCAACATTTAATTTTACCCCAAAGGACATTTTAACTAGACGCCACACTTACGGAAGATAAACTAGAGTCTTCATGAATGCTTCCAAATAAATCAGGAGATGAAACGTCAACTGAAAGACTGAAAATATTTTGAAAAAAGTGAATAGGAGACTATTCTTTTTACTCTAAGCATTTACAAATCAGCTATGATGTGTGCTTGCTGGAGAACAACATTTCTATTTCTCAACAACTTTCGAGGTTTTGACATGCGGAACAAGGTTCCAAATAGAACAAAACCAAAACCTTTCAAACATATTTGCAAAATGGAATTGGGTTTAAATTCCATTTTTTTAAATCAAAAATATCTGGTCTTCAATTTGGCTCTCTCTCCCCCCGAGAGTCAGTCAGCCCACCCTGGACCTCGGAGACCTTCTTGTCAAAAAACTCGTCAAAATCAATATGGCTTTGATGAAAAATATTTAGTCGAAAATGTTCTGACCGGCTGTCGTGCTGGGTTCAGCTGAAAAGACTCTAGAAAAAGTTGGAGTGCTGTGTCAGAGCGTCTCATACCATGGAATAGAAGGCAGAATGAGCTGTAGAGCTTTTCTAAATCACCCACAAACTGAACAAGAGCTTTGGGAAGAGGAATTGCCATTCCAGCAATCATATTGGGGGAGGGCGGAAGGTGGAGTCGCACCTTTCTGCACTTTCTTTGATTTGCAATAAAATAGTTTCTGTTTTCTTCTCTTATACACCAACTAAAGGTCAACCAAGTAAAGAGAAAAACAAAGGTGGTCTTTCAGGATACAGTCAATCAGTTTTAATTCCAGGCAAATCCAAGCAAAATTTTCTGGTTCCTTGTTTTACTCACGTAAATTTCTAATTTGCCTTAAAATTCAGGTACTTATGACTCCTCAGATCTCTGAAATTAGTGGTTGATGGAATAAAAGCAAAATTGTCAACAATTTAGTAGATATGTTGATAGAGTTAGGAACATGCCAAAGACAGAGGGCAAAGCAAGGAAAATACCATTCCCCATTGGTAGATGTTATTCAGTGACAGTGGCAACTTCTTTCATATAAAGTGCTTGGAAGCTATAGCTGTGACAAAAACCACCAGGCACAGATATTACCATTAGAACAAAAAATGGGCTAGTTTGGTGTAACAGTTACAACCTTTAGAAAGATGATTCTCTTTGGGAATCAAGCAGAAGGATTTTGAATAAGCTAGCTTTCACTAAGCATTACAATAGCTACTAAGAAAACAACTTTTTAATATTCATCATATTTCATTATCTTATTCAAATCTGTATTTCATTTTTTTTTTTTTTTTTTTTAAGAATTTTAATTTTTTATTAAAAAAACAATTTTTTATTTTCAATATTTTTTATTATTTTTTTTAAATTTGTATTTCATTTTTTTTTTTTTTTGGTATAGAAATGTTCTACTTGGCTCCATGGCATTATTGGTCAAAGCCAAAATTGTTCACAAAAGCTATCTAATAGAAATACCACAGGAATACTGGTGAGGAAAACCTTTTTGAAATTTGCAACTTCAAATATTCCAACTGTATTATTTTACTTACTGTGTGGTATCTGCATCACCATCAGGCTTAGTGCTCAGTTGTTCCAGACAATCTATAAAAACCTATAAAATAATTAAAAAAAAATTCTGAATTTTCCATCAGAGCTGAACTACTGGTACAAAACCTGTAAAATATTTTAATTTTTCTTAACTGAATTTTTAACTGCAGCATGTAAGCAGAATAATCACAAATACTCCAATTTTCTTAAACCTCAAATAATTGAAAACAGTAGCATTTTAAATTAAGTCCGGCAAATGTTTTCATTATCTTGTTATCCTTTGTTTTCCTGTGGAAAAAAAGATCTGTGCTATTTCTTTGTATTATCTCTCATCTTGCTAAATGACCTCCCAAATCAGAGTTGAAATCATAGGACTGAGGGTCCACTGGTTTACAAGGAACGTATCTTTAATGGCTTTAAAGTGCTTAAACAGAGAACCCCAACGCAAACATCTCTTAAGCCCATTACGTGTCATTTCTTTGGTCTGATTTGTGACATTTCACTTGATAACACAATACAAACAATTGTTAAAACTGCTGGGTGTTGCTTTATTATCTTAAAAATTTTTCTGGGTTATTATACATTTAAAAGATTACCTTAAAAATCTGTTGCAAAGAGCACTGGTTACTAATATGAAACTAAGGGCCAGATCCTCAGCTGTAAACTGGCATAGCTCCACTGATTGCAATTGAACTATGCCAATTTATACCAGCTCAGGCGCTTGCCCTTGGTTTCGTATTAGAAACTGGTGCTCTTTGAAACCAAATTTTAAGTTAATCTTTTAAATATATAATTAATAACCAAGAAAATGCTTGAAGTTAAGCTAGTGCTTCAAGTATATGTTTGAAGTGTTTAGGTGCCCTGATGAATTAGGGCCTTAGAAACCCCAGGAAGCATTAAGCATCATTATCCTTAAGAGTTACTGTAATTTGAAGTTACGATAACACTTATGTCTGGATGATCTGAATTAAACAGTATCTGACATCTTATCACCTTTTATTACTTTTTAGGGAGGAATGGATACAAAGTAAGCCCTTAATTCACTCATTTATGCTCCCCAATTCCAGTTTAAAATTACCTGCATGATACCAATGCTTAGCTGGCACACATCCTCCTGTGTTTTTTGTTGCTGGAAAACCTGAAGAAACAACCATATAACTTCAGTGGAATAGCTTCAGAAGACCTTCTTCCAAAGGAAGTGAGGAAAGGGAAGAGAGTTATAAATATCAAACCGAGTTTCTCTGTATACACTGCTCTTGTGAGACTCCCCAGGGAAAGAAGAGTGGCTGGTAGAACAAATCCTATGTACAAACACAATGGATAGGGGGTGTGGGCATCCTATAGTGAAGGGGAAACACAATGATGGGAACAATACTGGTACATGACGCTACCTAGCTGTGGATAATTCCAGTTCTCCATACCTTGAAGGTGAAACTGTGATTAGAAAAAGGTAGGAGAAAAAATAAGTGAGTAGAAGGGAAAGTAGTAGCTAGATTTCCTTCGTCCTGTATGTCACAGAAACTTGGAGAAAAAGGTTTGTAGCAACATGTAGGATGGGGGAAACCAAGTGAAGCTGAAAAGAGAACTGGGCAATAGTAGAAGCTCTTGGGACTTCTCAAGATCATCTTTGTTAGCATGTGAAAATTATCTCATGGGGAGCGATTAATTGTGAAGTAATATCCCCTTTTGGGTTCTTCTGGGGAACCCTCATTGGGGGAACAGGATACCTTCGTCATACATGGGACAAAGAAGAAGGGAGCAACAGCAACAGCACCCAATCCTATGAGATGTTGAGCATCTCCTGAAGAATGCTCTCATGTCTTCCTGAAGTCAATGGAAGTGGCTCATACCTTGTGGCATCAGGTCCCCAAGGCAGTAAATGAATGGGTTAGGGTTTATCATGTGGCATACCGGAGTAGGGAAAACGAAGGGTTGAGTTATGTTCCGAATGAAGTCTAGATGTGATATGTATTTGTAACTGGCTCTCCAGGGTACCTACATCGTAAGATCATACCTGCTGCCATTTGAAAGCTACAGGTCACAACCTTTATTACAAAAAAATTACATTTAAATACAGTTCACTTTTTGCCCCCTCCCAAACAAAAGGTACTATGAGTGCAATTTGAAAACGGACTCAATATTGCAAGGGCTTTTTTTTTTGTCAAAGTGAAGAAAAAAATACTGTGAAGCTTGAGTAATTTCTTAACTCATTTTATAATAGCATCTCTGTATTATCCACTAACACTAATAATACATAATGAAAACATATTTATACAGTAATTACTTTTAAAATTAATAACAATTTACATGCAAGGAAAGAAAAAGTACATAACAAGACTTACACTGGCTTCTCCAGGTCTGCAGTCCAGAACACTCTTGAGTGACTGCAAGGAATGCACAATGCATTGTTCAAACTGGGATGGCTGAAAGTAAAAAGATTTTTGAGTTCCTAAATGAATGTGCAATGTATACTATACAAACTATTAATATACACATTTTTTTTTACAGTAACAGAGAAGATACTTATTTTTTACTGATCCAAAATGGAACCCCCCCCACAAATTTCATGATACATATACTAAAGAAATCCCTTGTTTTAATGATGTACTGTCATACTGAAGCAAACAAAAATGATTACACAGATCAATTTTCTTTGCAAGTGTCTGAATGAGGGGTTCTGCCACTGAATGGTTTCTTCGCCTTAAGCCTGCAGTGAAGTTCTTATACCTTGTTTGTGATTGCACGCACAGCTACTCAGGAAAAGTCTGGGGGTAAAATCCTGGCCCCATTGTAGTCAATAGCAGAAGTCCTATTGACTAACAGGACCAGGATTTAAATTTAATGGGGCCATTCTAGGATATCACAAATTCACCATTATGATTTCACTATCATGAAATCATCAAGAACAAGTAGGGGTGGATTGGTTTGGAAGTAAGGCAACCTTGTCTATTCAGAAATTGCTTTGATACTTTGCAAAAAAAAAAAAAAAATGGCATGGAAACATGCCAAAAAAATAAAGTTACATAGGTCTTAAGGTGTATAAATCTAGATGCAAACGAATTTGTAGCATTATCCCTGTTAGCCAATCTCCCCTTATCCATCCTCTCTTGCTCGATATTGTGCCACTCTGGTTAGAGACCACCTGACGGCACTAGGGGGAAATTGTGTTTCCAGAGGGGAACATGAAAGTGAGAAAGCTATCTCCATGCTAGAAAAAGGGACACCAATCCAGTTGATTTGGCTCAAAAATGGGAGCCAGAAACTTCGAAGTTCAACTCCTCATTCTGCCCTTTATCCTTTGTGTAGCTTTGGGTATGTCTACACTACAGGATTAATCGGAATTTATATAATTCGAATTTTGGAAACAGATTGTATAAAGTCAAATGTATGCGGCCACATTAAGCACAATAATTCGGCGGTGTGCGTCCATGTACTGGGGCTAGCGTCGATTTCCGGAGCGTTGCACTGTGGGTAGCTATCCCATAGTTCCCGCAGTCTCCTCCTTCCATTGGAATTCTGGATTGAGATCCCAATGCCTGATGGGGCCAAAAATATTGTCGCGGGTGGTTCTGGGTACATCCTCCCCCCTCTCCAGGGAAGCAACGGCAGACAACCGTTTCGCGCCTTTTTCCTGGGTGAACAGTGCAGACGCCATACCACGGCAAGCATGGAGCCCGCTCAGCTCAAGACAGCAGTCATGAACATTGTAAACACCTCGTGCGTTATCGTGCAGTTTATGCTGAACCAGAACCTGCAAAACCAGGCGGTGAGGAGTAGGCTACGGCAGCGCGGCGGTGAGAGTGATGAGGACATGGACATGGAATTCTATCAAACCGCAGGCCCCGGTGCTTTGGAGATCATGTTGTTAATGGAGCAGCTCATAGCCGTGGAACGCTGATTCTGGGCCCGGGAAACAAGCACGGACTGGTGGAACCGCATAGTGTTGCAGGTGTGGGATGATTCCCAGTGGCTGCGAAACTTTCGCATGCGTAAGGGCACTTTCATGGAACTTTGTGACTTGCTTTCCCCTGCCCTGACACGCCAGAATACCAAGATGAGAACAGCCCTCACAGTTGAGAAGCGAGTGGCGATAGCCCTGTGGAAGCTTGCAATGCCAGACAGCTACCGGTCAGTCGGGAATCAATTTGGAGTGGGCAAATCTACTGTGGGGGCTGCTGTGATGCAAGTAGCCAAAGCAATCACTGAGCTGCTGCTACGAAAGGTAGTGACTCTGGGAAATGTGCAGGTCATAGTGGATGGCTTTGCTGCAATGGGATTCCCTAACTGTGGTGGGGCGATAGATGGAACCCATATCCCTATCTTGGCACCGGAGCACCAGGGTACCCAGTACATAAACCGCAAGGGGTACTTTTCAGTGGTGCTGCAAGCACTTGTGAATCACAAGGGACGTTTCACCATCATCAACGTGGGCTGGCCGGGAAGGGTTCATGACGCTCGCGTCTTCAGGAACACTACTCTGTTTAAATGGCTGCAGCAAGGGACTTACTTCCCGGACCAGAAAATAACCGTTGGGGATGTTGAAATGCCTATAGTTATCATTGGGGACCCAGCCTACCCCTTAATGCCATGGCTCATGAAGCCATACACAGGCAGCCTGGACAGGAGTCAGGAGCTGTTCAACTACAGGCTGAGCAAGTGCAGAATGGTGGTAGAATGTGCATTTGGCTGTTTAAAAGGTAGCTGGCGCTCGTTACAGACTCGGTCAGACCTCAGCCAAACCAATATCCCCATTGTTATTGCTGCTTGCTGTGTGCTCCACAATCTCTATGAGAGTAAGGGGGAGACCTTTATGGCGGGGTGGGAGGCTGAGGCAAATCGCCTGGCTGCTGATTATGCGCAGCCAGACACCAGGGCGATTAGAAGAGCACACCAGGAAGCGCTGCGCATCAGAGAAGCTTTGAAAACCAGTTTCATGACTGGCCAGGCTACGGTGTGAAAGTTCTGTTTGTTGAAAACCCGCCCCCTTGATTGACTCATTCCCTGTAAGCAAACCACCCTCCCCCCTTAAATCACAGCTTGCTTTCAAAGGAAATAAAGTCACTATCTTTAAAAAATCATGTAATCTTTATTAATTGATTATAAACATAGGGAGTGAACCGACAAGGTAACCCAGATGAGGTTTGGGAGGAGGATAGGAGGGAAGTAAAAGGCCACTGAAAAAATTCACTATAATGACAGCCTTTTGGTTGGGCTGTCCACTGGGGTGGAGTGGGAGGGTGCAAGGAGCCTCCCCCCCCGCGTTCTTACACGTCTGGGTGAGGAGGCTATGGAACATGGTGAGGGGGGAGGGAGGTTATACAGCGGCTGCAGCGGCACTCTGCTATCCTGCTGCCGTTCCTGAAGCTCCATCAGACGCCGGAGCATGTCCGTTTGATCACGTAGCAGCCCCAGCGTTGCAGCCTGCCACCTCTCATCTCGAGCGTCCCTCATGACCTCATGTTCACTGGCATCTTTCCTGTACTTAGATACCGTGTCCTTCCACTCATTCAAATGAGCTCTTTCATTGCGGGTGCATTCCATTATTTCCGAGAACATCTCGTCTCACGTCCTCTTTCTCCGCCGCCTTATCTGAGATAGCCTTCCGGACGGAGGAGGGAGGCTTGAAAAATTTGCAGCTGCTGGAGGGATGGAAAAAAGGAGAGAAGTTTTTAAAAAGATACATTTTACCGAACAATGCTTATACTCTTTCACGGTGAAAAACACTATTCACATTACATAGCACATGTGATTTCAGTACAAGGTCGCATTTTCCATCTTAATATTGAGTGCCTGTGGCTTTGCTGCTAGAGATCACAGACGCAGGTCCGGGCAACAGAATTCGGCTTGCATGCGGCCATGGTAAGCCATTGTCTTTCGGCTTCTGCGCCCTCCTTTCCCACATACCAAGCAAAGCCCGTTGACTGCTGCGGTTTTCCTTTTAACCTTCAACAGCAGAAAACAAACTAACCCGCCCCCCATCCAATTCTCTGAAATGATCGCTTTATCCCTCCCCCCCACCGCGTGGCTGGTATCAGGGAAGATCCCTGCAGAAACCAAACTAATCCCCCGCTCCCCCCACCCGCCATGAATTATCTGGGATGATCGCTGTACCCCTCCCCGTCACCGCGTGGCTGGTATCAGGGAAGATCCCTGCTAGCCAGAGGCGAAAAGCTCAGCGCCAATTCCCCCCCCCCCCTTGGCTAACTGCAGGGAAGGATTTCTTTTCAGCCACAGGCAAACAGCCCAGTAGGAATGGCCACCCCTGTCCCCTTAATTAAATTCCCATATTTCAACCAGGTTACCATGAGCGATATCACTCTCCTGAGGATTACACAGCGAGATAAAGAACGGATGTTGCTTGAATGCCAGCAAACACCGGGACCATACGCTGCCAGGCTTTGTCATGCAATGATACCAGATTACTTGCTACTAGCATGGCGATGTCAAGTGTCCTACCATGGAGGACGGAATAAGGCTGCACTGCCCAGAAACCTTCTGCAAAGGCTTTTGGAGTACCTCCAGGAAAGCTTCATGGAGATGTCCCTGGAGGATTTCTGCTCCATCCCCAGACACATTAACAGACTTTTCCAGTAGCTGTACTGGCCGCGAATGCATCCCAAGTCCTCAGGGCAAATTAATCATTAAAAAACGCTTGCTTTTAAACCATGTTTTATATTTTAAAAGGTAAACTCACCTGAGGTCCCTTCCATGGGGTCATGGTCTTGGATACTGGATTGGGAGGGTTCTTCAGTCAGGCTGAGAAAAAGATCCTGGCTGTTGGGGAGAACGGAGTGCTGGGTGCTCTCCGCAAGCTCGTCCCCCTCCTCCTCCTCTTCCCCGTCTGCAGAATCCTCAGGTGTGGCTGATGAGATTACCCACGCCTCGGAATCCACGGTGAGAGGTGGGGTAGTGGTGGCGGCCCCCCCTAGAATTGCATGCAGCTCAGCGTAGAAGCGGCATGTCTGCGGCTCTGACCCGGAGCGACCGTTTGTCTCCTTTGTTTTCTGATAGGCTTGTCTGAGCTCCTTGACTTTCACGCGGCACTGCTCTGAGTCCCTATTGTGGCCTCTTTCCATCATGCCCTTGGAGATTTTTTCAAAAGTTTTGGCATTTCGTCTTTTCGAACGAAGTTCTGCTAGCACTGAATCCTCTCCCCATATAGCGATCAGATCCAGTACCTCCCGTACGGTCCATGCTGGTGCTCTTTTTCGATTATTGGGCTGCATGGTTATCTGTGCTGATGAGCTCTCTGTAGTCACCTATTCTCTCCCGTGCTAGGCAAACAGGAAATGAAATTCAAATGTTCGCGGGGCTTTTCCTGTCTACCTGGCCAGTGCATCCGAGTTCAGATTGCTGTCCAGAGCGGTCACAATGGTGCACTGTGGGATAGCTCCCGGAGGCCAATACCATCGAATTGCGGCCACACTAACCCTAATTCGAAATGACAATATCGATTTTGGCGCTACTCCGCTTGTTGGGGAGGAGTACAGAAATCGATTTTAAGAGCCCTTTATTTCGAAAGAAATGGCTTCGTTGTGTGGACGGGTGCAGGGTTAATTGGATTTAACGCTGCTAAATTCGAATTAAACTCATAGTGTAGACCAGGCCTTAGAGTAAGTCACTTCACTTTCATTTCCCCAACCTATGATATTAGGATAACACTTATCCACCTCACATCGGTGTCATGAGGATTGATTCATGTCTGTAGAGCAATTTGAAAATCTAAAGCACTATACTAAAATGCTATTTATTCATTTTTAGAACAAGCTGTTGAAGACATACAGCAGAGAAAGAGAGCTAAATGGGCAGAAAAAGGGCATACTTTCAGTGGAAAAGTAAAACGCTGCTCCTTTTATTTTTGTTCTCATGTAGATTTTTATTGCCTGAGAAGAAAATAATAAAGCTTCCCTGTACATTAACCTTTGTGCATTACACGCCCCATGGCTGTACGTTTCTGACAACAGTATCCCAATATATGTTTTAACAGCTGTATAAATATCAAGGATGTTAATAACTAATTTTCTTGCATGCATTTTACACATATAGTTTAAGCTTAAGCTGTCTCCAAAGGGCCTCTCTGGCCTTGTCTACCCTCAGAAATTTTGCTAAAGTTTCCCACCATTACGACAATTGATTCAGATCCATCAGTGGTGGTAACAATGGGATTATTCATATAGACAAGGCATCAGCAGTTGCCAGTATTTTAAGCACCATGTCATGCTCTCAGCAGGATTAGATGACACCATACTTAAGACGGTGACAGCTCCCTAAAGACCCATATACACTAGCAATCCACCCACGGTTTCTGCTGCTGGCAGAGCTAAACTGGTGGGAAATTTTTGCAAAAAATCCTAGGGTATATATAGCTTTGGAGCACGGTAATGAAGCACTAATAAGATTTTGTTTAGATTTATTAGTTCTACAAAAGAATGACCAGGTATGCAAACCTAGATGGAAGAAGGAAATGGGGCTCTGGTCTGGACTGAAATGACCAGAGTACGTTGCAATTGAAAATAAAACCCAGAAGTCATGACTCCCAGTACTGTATTTTAAAACCAGACAACACTCCTTCCCACATTATGTATATCTGGAATGCTTCACGCCCTCCTACTCAACTTCATTCAAATGTATTTATAGTAACAAACAAGCACAACTTCAGATAGATGGCCTACCGAGTACTCTCTTATATAATACACACAAAGCTTAATCCTCCCACAGCCATTTCTGCTTTCTCAGATTGTTTTTAAGTCATGCCTACAATGTGCTTGTCATCTTTTAGCCATTAGTCATTACTATTTTCCAGAAAGCACCTCACTAATTTATTTTAATATGGTTTCAAGTTGTTTATTGTTTGTCTGTGAGCAACCTCCTAAATTAGTTGACTCTCAGTTAAATTTCTCATTATACCAGAAAAGCAACTTTTTATATCTACTACTTCCATGGTAACGAACTCATTAAGTTATGAAGCACTATGACGTGGACTGAACTTGCCACAACCTGAGAAAACAAACTGTATTTTAGCAGAACATCCATAGCTAAAAAAGAAACCTTTTTTTTTTTTTTAAACCTCAACACAATCTTACTAAGGAAGATCAGTAAAAACTTTAGGGGGGCACATTAAACCCCCCTCCCCCAACTCTCTCAATTTATATACATGCTAGCCTCTTCTCCATGTGATTCTTTACATTCTACTCATATTAAAGGACCGAATCCAGCAAAGCTTTACTCACATGAGTAGTCCTTACTCGTGGTAGTAGTCCCACTGACATGAATTGCTACTCACATAAATAAAGATTATTCACATATGGCTCTGCAGCACTGGGACCAAAGACACTGCTTTTGAAAACCCCATCCATAAGCTGAAATTTATCTAGTTTTTAAAACTACTTTGAACTGTGCTTATGCTCACTTACACATGTAAGAAAATCCACCAGGAGAAAAATAACTCTTGAAAGAGGGAAAAGGTGAAAGAAGAGAAAAAGTAACTTTTGATTTTGTGATAGGATTTATACCACCATGAATATTTAAGAAAGTGAGCAGACAGAGGGCAGAAAGAATTCACATAGGAGTATAATCTCTCCTCCATCTAAATTCTAACCCACTTTAGATGGGAACTGATTAGCTTTATTTTGTTCCATATTTTAATTCTTTTAAAAATACATATGCACACATGTGTAAATATAAGTAAATGTATAACATGCTGCAAAACTTTTAATATTTATGAAAAGAAAAATGAAATTTACACAAGTCCACCACATGCACAAAAAATGGGTGCCCAGAAACACACAAAGTGTACCCACCAGAGATGTTAAACCTTCATTATCAACCACCCAGTCTTCCTTTTCAGCTAACCTCTTCACATCTGTAAAAAGAAAAGGTGTTAAAAGCTAGGTTTCATTATAAAAAACTCCTTGAACTTAACAAGAGATAAAACCACAGGCACCTAAGTGTGATGAACAGGCATACAAGTACATTGGCCATACTTAAAAGATTTCAGACACTTTTCAAATGACTAAGAATGGCACACACACATAGTTTGCTGCTGCTTTCTCCTACAGAAGTAAAATTTATGGTGTATGGCAATAGTTGCATAAAGCCCACCTTTTACTGGAAATCTTGAGGTTAGAGAAATATTGTTACAGTCCTCTGTTTTAAAAAAACGGACATATCATGGCTGTGTACCCATAATATAGGCATTATATTTGGGAATTCAAATGTATGTTTGTTTTATTATTCCTTGCTCAATGCAGTTTTAAAAAAACAAACCCTCAAGTACATAACTTAATCGGAGATCAGGACAAGTGTTAAGACTCACATAATTATATTAAATATGTATAATATGTTTGGGTTGAGAGTCATCAGGATCAGGACTCCATTGTGCTAGGTGTTGCTCAAACATATAGGAAAAATCCATCCAGGCTCTCGAAGGCTTATAAGAAGAAAGTGAGATAAGAAGTGTAGGAAAGGGGAGGAGAAGAAGAGGAGTATAACAATCAGTTATATACAATTTAGGTACCTATATACATTTGCACGTTGCCCCATTTACCCTTCAACCTAGTCATCATTAATTGGTAGATTTGATTGATTGATAGGTGTTGTGGCAGAGGAGCATCTTGAAGTACATTCGAGAACACTATACTCTGAAAAGTGACTATGCAAAAGTAGCAACTTGTTACCAATAGATCTTCTCCTGAATCTGCCAACTTTATATTTGTTTTTACTGCTGGTTTATTCCCTTCAGACCTTTAGATCTAACACAGATATAAAGGAGGGAGCTGAATTACATTCCTTCTTATTCATCATCAAAAGAACTGATTACTAAGTTCCAGTCAGTTACACTTGTACAACCCTCACTGCCTTATTTGGCATTAGCATAATTTAGTTTGCATGACCTTTGTTGCCAGTGATGATGCATGAGAAGGAAAGAAACCAGCTTGACTCTCAGGGCCCAGGCTGAGTTTACAGGGCTGACAGCTAGAAAAACCCTCTTCCATTTACTTGTAAACTGAACACGTTTATCACTAAAAGACAATAAGCATCCCACAGTCATTTCCAGTTTGACAAAACCTGATTCCAGCAAAAATCTATTTGCAAGATAATCACAGGCTGTATCCCTGAAAGTAAGAGCTACAATACAAGGTAAAAGTATCTTCAAAACTGAATTTTTTAAACCATTAGATTGCTGTTTAAATTGCATTTACCGCTGAAATTTTGTTTGCAAGTCAATAACAAAAAAATGTACAACTTAGTGCTGTGAGACAGTTTACATAAGAAGAGAACTCCATTACCACTATATCATGTGGCTACATTCTTTCAAAAAAATTCATTTTTTTAAATTATAGAATTGAAAATTAAGCAGCACTGTAAAAGCACTTTCACCCATGAAGATGAATAAACTACAAATTATTCACACAAAGACGAGGCACAGTATAATCCAAGCAAGAAAATGTCAGAGTTGCAGTTAATGTTCTTTCTTTAATGCAGACGCATCAGTGGAATAAAATTATGATTGGCGTGAAATAGAAATAGTTTTTTTTAATGCATATTGCAAAAGAGGAAGCTGAATTACATTCCTTCTTGTGCATTTTCAAAAGAATTGTTTACTAATTTCCAGTCAGTTACACTTGTTCAACCCTCACTGTTTAATTTGGTATTAGCATAATTTAGTTTGCATGACCTCTATTGCCAGTGATGATGCATGAGAAGGAAAGAAACCAGTTTGACTCTGAGCACAGGTTGAGTTTACAGAGCTGGTGATTAGAAAAACAAATAGATTAAAGCCATTAAATCTAATAAATAGGATTTTTTTTTTTTTTTACAAGAATATGAAAGAGTAATCAATGAAGGCATGACAAGGGAAGTGTTCTGGTTGGATTTCAGAGGCACTAAATGGACAGTTAGTGTGAGTTAACAAATATAGGCAACAATGTGAATGTAGCATGAGAAATCAAGAGTTAGTTAAGGGCCGTAAATGATCACTAATATTTGCAAAATATTCTGAAAATGAAAAATATTATACAGTATAAATATCAGATATGATTATTGGTGTTCTTCTCAGAGAGGTCCAGATTCAGTAAAGCACTGAAGCACATGTCTAACTTTAAGCAAGTGAGTAGTTCCACTGACTTCTCACATAGGATTACTCATGTTCTTAAAGTTAGGCTTAAGTACCTTGCTGAACTGGGGCATAAGTCGAGTAACAAACAGAAATAAGGTTGTTTAAAGGAACAGGAAGAGACCCTGCTAGCTCCAGTTTGTTTGCTCGATGGTCCCTGCATTGCTTTGCGTATATCAGTCAGCATGAGGATCATTACATTGTCTAGCATGCTGCCCATCACAGAATAAAAGAAGTTTGATCAAACCAGTGGACACCATGAGCCCCATATGAAAGAAAAGAGCTGGGAAGAGAGATCTCTAGCCCACTGATGTTAATTTTTAATACATCTTGAAAAACTGGGAAAATTCCAGAGGACTGGATGAGTGCCAATATTCATAAAGGACAAAAGGGATGACCCAGGTAATTATAAGGCTCGCTAGCCTCAAATCAATTGCAGGCAAAATAAAGGAAAAATGTTTGTGGGAGTCAATCAATAAAGAATTAAAGGATGGGACTATAACTATGCCAATATACATGGTTTTATGGAAAATAGATCTTGTCAAGCAAACCAAATTTCATTTTTTTATGAGATGACAAGTTTGGTTGATAAAGGTAACTGCACAGGTGTCTAATATACTTATACTTTTATAAGGCATTTGATTTAGCACCACCTGACATTTGCATTTAAAAAATTAGCACTATTCAATATTAGTAAAGCACATGATAAATGGATTAAGAACTGGCTAACTGAAGTAGTTGTCAAAGGGAAATCATCATTGAATAGGGGAATTTCTAGTGGGGTTCTGCAATGATCAGTTTTGGGTCTGACACTATTCAATATTTTATGAGTAATCTGGAATTAAACATAAAATCGTTGTGGATAAAATTTGCAGATGACAAAAACTGACAAAGTGGTAAATACCGATGAGGAGAGGGAAGTCATACAGAGTGATCTGGGTTGCTTGGTAAGCAGGGCCCATTCAAACCAAACGTGTTTGAATCAACCCAAATGCAAGGTTATACATCTAGGACCAAAGAATGCAGTCCATACCTGTAAAATGTAGGACCGTATCCTGGAAAGCAGTGACTGATAAGGATATAGTGGACAAACAACTGAACGTGAGCTCCCAGTGGGATGCTCTGGCCAAAAGGGATAATGTGATCTCTAGATGCATAAACAGGGAAGTAGTGAGTATGAGCAGGAAAATGATTTTACTTCTGGTGATACCAATACAGGAATAATGCATCCTGCCCTGGTGACCAGATTTAAAAAAAGATGTCAAAAATTGGAGAGTGTACAGAAAAGAACACAAAAGTGATTTGAAGGCTGGAAAAAATTCCTTACAGTGAGAGACTGAAGGAGCTCAATGTGTTTAACTTATTAAAAAAGTCAAGAAGAGACTTGAAGAGGAAGAGGAAGAAAACACTGGGTAATAAAGGGCTTTTTAATCTAGTGGAGTAAGGCATAACAAAAACCCGTAGCTGGAAGTTAAAAGCCAGACAAATTCAAATTAGAAATATGGCACAATTTTTTTTTAAACAGTGAGGATGATTAACTATTGGAACAAACTAACAAGGGATATTGCCAATGCATCATCTCTTGAAATCTTCAAATCAAGACTGGATTTCTTTTTGGAAAACATGCTTTAGTCAAACAAGTTATTGAGCTTAAATACAGGGATAACTCATTGAAATTCTATGACCTGTATTATACAGGTTAGACTAGATAAACTAATGGTCCCTTTTGGCCTTAAAAATCTATGAATCTACGACCCCAAAGAGCTAAGTAGGACTCTAGAGACAAACAGTGAGTATCCCTGATAAAACTGCAACTAAAATATTGTGTAAAGTTTTTAAGATTTGCTCACTTAAAAAAGAATATCCAAGCTTGAGCTAAAATTACAGAACAGAGTAGTAATAATGCTGATTCATTGCATGGAATAGTTGTGTCATGACAAAATGTACAAATGAATTAAAGCGTGTTTGGTTTGGAAAAAAGACTGCAACCTAGTGAAAAAAGTGGCTGCCTTATATTAAAGGGGGAAAAAAAGGCTCATAATACAGGGAACAAGCAAGTATTGTTAGGGAAATGATAAAATAACTTAATAGGTCTTGTATGTTGTGACTCTGTGAATTACAGGTGACCGTATTATTGATTCAAGTACCTAAAGTGAACACAATCTATTCTAGAATGCAGTCTGATTTAACTAAAGAGAAAATAAAAAATCCTAACCATATGCATGTAGGTCTGCACATTTTTTTTTATTACCTTCAGCTGTGTGTTGTAAGGTGACCATTATACAACGTACTCGAAGATCCAAAATAAGATCCTGGATGATATGAAGCATATCATTTGGTATTTCAAGTGCAGTAAGGGACTCGTAACTAAGCCTGGAAGGAGAAGAAAATAAAATGAAGGTTAGGTTTAAACTTACAGTTTTGTAGACAATACTGCTAAATATCACAAAGTTACTTAGGAGTTTGTTTTGCTTATGGATAATATTAGTCCTCTCAACAGTAAGCTTTTTAAACTGTGATATCATCCATAATACCATAGGTATGTTTTACTATCTGGTTCATTCATTTGTTGAAACCATATCAATATAGAGCTTCACTGTTGTACTGTATAAACTTGACAAAGTTTAGGCCACTGATGTGCTAATACCACTGCATATCACAATGACCAATATTGTCTTGTTTCTTTGTAATTCTCCATCTGTCTGTATCCATCTGTTGTCTCTTGTTTTATACTTAGATTGAAGGCTCTTTGGGGCAAGGACCATCCTTTTGTTTGTACAGCACGTTGCACAGTGGTGTTTTGGTCCATGATCAGCACTCCTCGGGGTGATCATAAAATAAATAGCAACAGAGCCTGCAATGAAGGGTAACGTGAAGGTATACCACCCTAGCAGAGCATAATGGTTTGATGTGCCAATAGGGAACACAGTTACTGTGCCACCTCTAAAGACAGTGCAGCATGGACTCACCCAACGCAACTTAATTTCCACCAGCCCAGCACCACTGACTGGTGTGGAAGAGGGTGGGGCCATGCCTTATCATTCTCCCTATGTCACATCCTATATACTTGTAAGGGGCAGCATTTGCAGTCTTAACTGGAGGGCTGCAATTGTGCCAAATCTTTACACAGGGACACAAAGGAAGAACGGAGAAGAGTTAAGAACACAAGAATGGCCATCCTAGGTCAGACCAATGGTCCATCTAGCCTGATATCTTGTTTTCCGACAGTGGCCAATACCAGATGCTTCAAAGGGAATGAACAGAACAGGGCAATTATCAATTATCCATCCCCTGTCCTCCAGTCCCAGCATCTGGCAATCAGAGGCTCAGGGACACCCAGAGCATGGGGCTGTACCCATGGCCATTTTCGCTAATAGCCATTGATGGACCTATAAGAACGGCCATACTGAGTCAGACCAAAGCTTCATCTAGCCCAGTATCCTGTCTTCCGACAGTGGCCAATGCCAGGTGCCCCAGAGGGAATGAACAGAAAAGGTAATCATCAAGTGATCCATCCTGTTGCCCAATCCCAACTTCTGACAAACAGAGGCTAGGGACACCATCCTGGCTAATAGTCATTGATGGACCAATCCTCCATGAATTTATCTAGTTCTTTTTTGAACCCTGTTATAGTCTTGGCCTTCACAACATCCTTTGGCAAGGAGTTCCACAGGTTGACTGTGTGTTGTGTGAAAAAATACTTTGTTTGTTTTAAACCTGCTGCCTATTAATTTCATTTGGTGGCCCCCAGTTCTTGTGTTATGAGAAGAAGTAAATAACACTTCCTTATTTACTTTCTCCACATCAGTCATGATTTTATAGACCTCAATCATATTGCCCCTTAGTTGTCTCTTTTCCAAGCTGAAAAGTCCCAGTCTTATTAATCTCTCCTCTTACGGCAGCCGTTCCATACCCCTAATCATTTTTGTTGCCCTTTTCAGAACCTTTTCCAATTCCAATGTATCTTTTTTGAGATGAGGCGACCACATCTGCACGCAGTATTCAACATGTGGGTGTACAATGGATTTATATAGAGGCAGTAAGATATTTTCTGTCTTATCATCTATCCCTTTCTTAATGATTCCCAACATTCTGTTTGCTTTATTGACTGCCGCTGCACACTGAGTGGATGTTTTCAGAGAATTATCCACAATGACTCCAAGATCTCTTTCTTGAGTGATAACAGCTAATTAAGACTCCAGCATTTCATATTTATAGTTGGGATTATGTTTTCCAATGTGCAATACTTTGCATTACTATCATCAATGAATTTAGCTAATTCTTTTTTTACCCAGTTATAGTTTTGGCCTTCACAACATCCTCTGGCAATAAGTTCTAAAGGTTGATTGTGCCCTGTATGAAGAAATACTTCCTTTTATTTGCTTTAAACCCGCTGCCTATCAAAGACACTACACTGGCTGCATCTCCTTAATGTTTCCGAATTGGGCAAGAACTAGGCAAATGGAGTCACTGCCATTCTCCCTACCCCGATCTTGAGCAGGGCATAAGTATCGGGAATAGCTAGCAGCAGGAACCAGGCTCCAAGTGTGGGCACTTGATAACCCTCCACCAACCACCAGGACTTTTGTGGGGTTGCAAAGCCATCATCTTTCCTGCTCCTCTTTCTGAGCAGAGTGCAGGCACTGAGAGCAGCCATCAGCAGGGGATGGACACAAATCTTCAAACGTTCATCACTCTGTGTGCCACTGTCACTGCCCTGTGATTCTGGAATGTCATCTGGTAACTATCAACAACTTTGTTCACACCACTACTATTGTCTGCTCAGCTTGACCACTTAATTAGCTGATTATAAGCCATCATTAGTTCACTTAACCATCTAGGAAAGGAGGAATACAAGCAGTGGTCACCTGTGAAAACTCTTGGTTTAAGTGACTAGCCCAACATTACATCAGAATTTAAGAGGAGGCAAGGACAGAAACAAATTCTCCAAGATGACATTCAGCTGCCCTATTTATGAGGCCATCCCTTCTCTTCCTGCAATCTCCTGCCTCATTTACTACACACCTTTCAACTTCTAAAACAAATGAAAAAGAGGTCCTATAGACAACAGCCTCATTCACTACACAACCATGATTCATCTACAGAGCACTGTCCATCCTGTGCACTGAGACAAGACTCCCAAGGAAAAAATATAGCAAGTGATCATGTAATTACAGACTGTATCATAATGCATATATACACAAGTAGGCTGAATTAATCTTGCACAGGCAACCTTAATTTTGACATTTCCTAACTTTTGTATCCTTGACTTTGCAACATTAACGATCTTTCAGTTGAACGCAAAACAAATAAAAAAATAAGGCACAGTTTAGACTATGTTATACATACTAAAGACTCATACCACACAGACCAATAGCCCCAGTTACCTTACAGTCTGGATGACATGTGTTAGCCACTGTCCAGAGAGTTCAGATTTCATCTCCCAGCCACCATACTGTCTCAACTCTCCTTCTCTGAGGCTGAATGGAAGCAAAGCTCCACGGATGAGTTTTGCCAGGGACTGCATCACCTCCTGAATCATTTTCTGTCACAGCATAAAAGAACATCACAAAAATAAATACTTAGAAACTGCACCAATATTTTTAACCAGTTATGTATTCATCGCATAATCTAGTCTGAAATGGCAGGCATACATTTCAAATTTCACTAAGGAATATAATTTTACTTACATAGCAAACACCCACATAACAAGCACTACAGAACATAATTAAAACAAATACAATATATAAAACAAAAAAATCACTTTAACATAAACACAAACAACAGGGACCAAATTAGGACAGAGAAGGCAATAAACATAGGGCTAATAAGGGTCACTGCAAAAAACAACTGTGAAAAATAAAGATTTAAGATTTATTTATTTTTAAAGCAGGGATAAAATAAAATGGATTTTAGGGGTTGGATATAAAGAAAGTGAGTTCCAAGATGCAGGGCCCACCACAGCCAAAGTTTGATTGTCTGTAGAGGCTTCAGATGTGATGGCAGGTTCTTAAATGGCCGGTGATGTGTGAGCATACTTGCCAGTACAAGGTATCTGCCTTTTACTTAGACTGTAGTCTCTTGTACAGCAAGGATCAGGGCTTTTTTTTGTGGGGGGGAGGGGGGAAGTGACTATTGTTTTTTGGGTGCCGAACCTAAAACAGCTTAAAGGGGCCTGATTATTACAGGGTCAACGCTCACCACTATTTGAAAATTAAGCCTTCTTCAGGTGTCTTAATCTGAAGGACCACCTAAACGAAAATAAGTCTGCACACCAAGCTTACCTTGAAATCATTTTGTCTTTGCCTAGCATTCTTCTTTGATCTTTCCATTTGACCAGATTTTTCAGCAGTCTTGTAAAAATGAGAAACAATTGAAAAGTATCAGTGTCTGGTAACCACGGCTTTCAATTTTAAAACCATTCTAAAAAAGATGCATTTAGGAAAAGGGGTCAAAAATGCTTCGTGAGTTTACAATGGGATAAAAGAAGCCAACTCAAGTCACATCTACAAGCAAAGTCTCCACAAGTCAACAAGTATTTACTTATAGTAGCTATCAAGATGCTAGTGTTTAAGTGTGGGGCACAATGTGCCAAAACAACCTAAAATAAAAGGTGGAAGTAAAATAACAGTGTAAGAAGTATAAGCTTCATTGAAGTCAAGCAATATTTTCCTATTATGATTTTGCATTAACATTGTTAAAAGAGCTCTAAAATCCATGGCTCAATCCTGCAGTAAGTCTACAGGAAAAGAATCTTCAAGTCCCCAGTAGGTGAGAGGTGCCTGGAGGAAAATTTGGGTCTAAAATAAAGTACATTCTTTGTAATGATGGATAGTGCAGAAGTACTGTGTGTTCTCCTTTTTCTTTTGGCTTAGTACTTTGTTCCAGAAGACAGAGTCCATTATTCTCCAAAGTGAAGAACTAAATCATCTGTAATGGACTTACTATGAAGATTTATCATCATCTTGCTGGACAATTCACATATCTGAAAATTTAGAAGCACCAAAGCACATCTGCACTAGCAACTTTGGTTACAGTTGTGTAAAGAAAAGAATATGGCTTGAACAGTGCTCTTACTGTTAGCAGTTTTCAAATGCAAGTGATAATTATATATTTGTGTGTGAAGTGTGCCATAACACAAAGCAAGTTTCATAGAAAAAGCTGTTTAAAAGATTGGATTAGAGAAGTAGGTGGAATTGTACAGCTAAGAGCATTTGCTAATTTAACGTATGCACTGTGACACCTACTGGACAAAAGTATATTAGCAGAATTGTAGTTTGGAAAAGATATTCTGAAAACTGTCCTCAAAGCAGTAATATAATCAATATATTTTTTAAATGACTAAATAAGTTTCATGTTTTTTTTATAATTCATCATTTGTTAGAAGTTCTTCAGATTATTTTTATGAATGCCAAGTAAATTTTGTAGTTAGCATACAATTACCAACAAGAAATTCAAATAGAAAGAAGCTTTTCGTCAAAAACACTTTAGAGTTTTTAAATTCTCTGTTTTCCTTTATTATTCTGAACTGTACCATCTTATATTAATCAGAACAATTCCTGCATATTACTGATGAACCTCATATGTACTGTCCTCTTTTTTATTGCTTTTTTCTGATAAAAAAATCAATCATATTGAATAAACTTCTCTATGCTGCAGGTACCTTTTAAAATGTTACTCAACTGAAGTTTTAAAACAGTTTTGATTGCTCCCTTAAAGCCCTGATATGAAGTTATATTAAAGAAAAAATATAAAAGAGCTTAAGATACTTTTGCCCTTAGTGATTTCGTTGAATAAAAATCTTAACCCTTTCCTGCACAGACAGACCAAAACTACTTTGTGGTAAGACCAACGGTTATATTTCACTGTTTTGACTTCACATATGCTACTTCATATGGATCTGAGTGGTTCAAAGAGCTGCAAACTTTTTAAGCTGTTAGAAATAGCACATAAATCTTTAACTGTCACTATTCTAAGACGAACAGCCTACCTTTATGCCAAGAAAAATATATATAACTTCACAACAGAAAATAGAACCAGCTTGTTATTTATCACTGGGTTTTTCTTTTGTATTAGAGTTAATCTATTTCAGGCTTATGGATTTCAATCAAATGGTTCTCTGTACATTGTTCTCATGATTTTCTCTCTCTGTCTCCAAAATTATGGTGAACAACATTTTGTTTCTCACATGTCAATAAATAGCAAGGAAATGTAGTAAGGACACCTTCAATGATGCCTAAAATCCGTACTATTGGCAAAATTCTACAGCTTGTGGAGGTGTTGTGGCTGAAGCTCTCCTCAGGAGCTCCTAATGAGGTTTCCTAGGCCCCCATCCATTTTTGGATAGCTAGTGGCAACAAGAGCCTGCACTGTCCACAGGATTTTGGCCATTTCCTACATATGGACAAAAAAGGAGCAAAGGGATGAGGATGAGTTGCTTGTCCAGTCAGAATCTGGCCCTATGAAAGTACAGGATAGGTCAACAGTTTAACATGCAAATTAACTCCAACTTTTTTGCAATGGAAACAATGTTCTGACCAGGCATTATACAAGATTGCTGCATTTTCTCTTGCTCTTACTCTCACAAGCAGAACTGCTCAACTTTGTGTACAATTGTAAACATAGTGTCAGTGTCTCTTGAAATTTCACAGACAGAAAACTACATTAATTTACAGTTGAGGTTTTAAAGTTCAAATCCAATCTCTAATAACCAGAAATGTATTATTACCAAAACTGTAGTTATTTTCAAATTAAAAGCTTCAGGAGGATTCTCATCACTTTCACTAGAGAATAATGGCATGATTCTCTATGGAAAAAACACTGGGTAGGAGTCAAACTCCTACATTTTAATACTGCCTCTACTTCTCGATCACTGTATGGCATTGACAAATGCATGTTCTCTCTTTCCCTCGGATTTCCATTTGTGAAATGGGGAAAACAAAATGCATCCACTTCTGAGGATTTTAGGTGAGCGGCAGACATGACCGATTTGGTCAACTTAATGTACCCTCTGTACACACATGCACATCATACATCATTTGGAAGCTTATTAGGTCTACTTGTAGATGAGGTATGATACGGAGCCATCATGTGGTGCTATTACCATAGAAATGGGGGATAAATACGACACCATAAATATGTTAAAATGATCACTGAAATAATTTGCATTCATTTCTTTAGTTTAATATCACTTATTCAAAGACATAAAATTGGATTTCTTTGTGACCTCAAAGCACCACCGCAACAATCTAAACCAGCATTTCTCAAACTGGGGTCCGTGGACACCTGGGGGTCCCTGAGGATACCCCAGAGGATCCGCAGGCTCCGCTGATCAACTCCTCCTCCTCCCTCCCAGTGCCTCAGGCATACTAAAAGTCCGGTGGCGCAGTGGGGCGAAGGCAGGCTTCCTACCTACCCCAGCTCTGCGCCGCTTCCGGAAAACGGGGGGCTGGGGTGGTTGCAGGGAGGGGGTCTCTGTGCGCTGCCCCCACCCCAAGCGCCAACTCCAGAGCTCCCACTGGCCAGGAACTGCAGCCAATGGGAGCTGTGGGGGTGGTGCCTGTGGGCAGGGACAGCGCACAGAGACCTCCTGGCTCCCCCGCCTAGGAGCTGCTGCCAGAGAGATGTGCCGGTCGCTTTCGGGAGCCACCTGGGGTAAGCACCGTCTAGACAGAGCCCTAACCTCCTCCTGCATCCGAACCCCCTGCCCCAGCCCTCCCTCCACACCCCTCACCCACTCCTGTACCCCAGCCTGGTGAAAGTGAGTGAGGGTGGGGGAGAGCAAGCAACAGAGGGAGGATGGATGGAATGAGCGGGGTGCAAGGCCTCAAAAGGTTGGGGGCAGGGACGTGGCAAGGACTGAGCGGAGGGTTTGGGGGGTCCCCAATTTTTTAAAAATCAAAATGGGGGTCCTAAGGTTGCTAAACTTTGAGAGCAGCTGATCTAAACAATCTAAAACAAATCTAGTAATACATTTGTATTGGTATAATTGAAACGTGATAACGCTGGTGACATTTCTGGACAATTATCATCATCTTGTACATCATTATGATCTCTGGCAAGAGTGAGTGGGCTACCAATATCTTTGTTGCTTTGGCATGTACACAGTTCTGTGCAGGCAAGAACGTTATGACTACAGACACAGCTGATTGCTCAGCAACCCTTACTGGTACAGGCACAAATAAGGTCTTGTAGAAGCTCAGATGCCACTGGGCCTTTGAAGAATACAGGAAGCTGTTCATCATCCTCATTTTTCCTTCCATGTTGTAATGGTGATCCATTATTTGCTTTACCTATGTGTGAAGACATCCAAACCTTTGTTTGCCAAGATGCTGTTGTGACATGTTCTTCAAAACTCTCCTCACATGGTGGGATTCTGGCCAGTAACTTGTCCTTCTTGATGGCTAGATTGAGGTGCAAGCAAGTCAGGTTTTTGTGGGTCTCCTCTTCTTTCTCACTCTGGTCATACAGGACTGCTATCAACTTCCTTGCTGCAGAATTTGAAGCTTGTCCATCACAATCTCCCAATTTGGGAGGCTCTGAAGAGGTACGATCACTTTGTTTTGACAACATTAAACAGATTTTTTTTCTCCGATACCAAATAGGTATGTCAGAGAGTCACATGCTGTTAAGGCATGTAGAGCAGGAAGCATGTTGCAGACATCCAGAGTGAGTGCATCACAAATTTCATGCACAGATATGAAGAGATACTTGTTAGTTGTGCTGGTAATGATGGCTGTTTCAATCTACATGTTATCTACGTGTTCCATTTCTGGAAAGTAGTGAACAGCAATGACCAAAACATCTGTATCAGGTGACCTAATTACAATGGTTCCTTTGATACCAAAAGCCATATTGGCACATACAACATACAGAAGCATCTTTGTATCAGCTTTCTCTTGAATACTGTACAGGCTTCTTCAACAGCTCAACTGGTGATGGACTTTGCTGCTTCACCACTGGAAAGGTGGTGTTTGTGTTGGGTGTGCTCCTACACTCAGGTGCACTTTGAACCATACATTCACAGAGGAATTTTGCAACTGAGTGTTCGTTGGATGCCACGTTTTAAAACATTTTCCCACGGGGGCACAGGGCATCCACCAATCACCTGGTATTTCTTGCATCCAACCTTAGATCCTGTTCGGAGCTATCTTTCTGAAATTTTCAGAGATACTATTGTCATACCCGTCAAAGATTCCAATTAAAGAATTAGCTTCAAATCCTTTTAGGACCTGCCTCAAATACTCAGTAGCCAATTTGTCAAATGTGTAGACTGTCTCCAGCTATCATTTGTATGACAGCCTTGGCATCTAAGAGGTACACTATGGTTTCTTTGTTGCATGCTCTTAGCCCATGGATTTTTTCAGCTTGAGCTTTCAACTGATGCCCTAATTCAGCTTTGTCTGTTCTTCTTATTGTTCCATCACCATGAAAAAGGAACATAGGCACAGATCCTATTGGGTGACTGAGGGTATGCCTATACTGAAAAGGCTACAGCGGCACAGCTGCAGTGCTTCAGCTGCGCTGCTGTAACACTTCAGTGTAGCCACTCACCACAATGATGAGAGAAATTGTCCTGTCACTATAGTTAATCCACCTCCCTGCAAGAAGTGGTAGCTAGGTCGATGGAAGAATTATTCTGTCAACCTAGCCATGTCTACACTGGGGATTAGGTCAGCATAGCTGTCTGTCTCAGGGGGGTGGATTTTTCAAACCCCTAAGAGACACAGCAGTGCCGATACAAGTTTTCAGTATTGACCAGCCCTAGGAACAGTTGCGACTGAAACATCATCTCTCCATCTTGCTAAGGACAGAGCTTTGTGGGAAAACAGTTTTGGGACTGAGAGCTGTTATGATTGTCCCTCCTTGCCAGAGTTAAATTTAGTCTTCTTGGCTATGTCAGCAAATGTTTTGATGCCAAATTTCTAGACTGGGCTGAAGAAGCTTCATGTGCCATCAGAATCAAGTGCACCTCTCACAAATCTCTCCATTTGTTCTTCACCATCTGCTATTTTCAGTAGAGACTCTTGTACAACTGACGCTATGAGTCAGGGTCAAATCGGTTTCTCATATTGTTGATGACGTTGTTGATAAGAGCTATAACATGCTCTTCATCCCTTTTCATTACAGAGGCAAGAACTTAATTGTGGACTTTGTCTTCACTACTTCTTGTTAGGTCCCTTCTTTCTCTCATAGCTTTTGGCATATTCATAATATGAAGCTCTGTACCATCATCTCTAACACTAGTACTGACCCATGCATAAGAGTCACTGAATTAAAAAGCTAGTTTCTAGAATATTTCAAAGCTTAGTACTTCATGCATAGGCAGTACAAATTAAAATCTTCTACCAGGCAGACTAGATGCTACATTGTTTTGTTCAAATGCTTACAAATGGGGAAGCATTACATTAGGAATTCACGTATAGTTATATCTACCCACTATGCTGTACAAACTATGAGAATGCAATCTACTGCTACTGGTGCATAACCTTCAGCGTGAGACTGATCTGATCAGCACATTTCAACTGAAAATATAGAAAACTATTATAATCACTTGTGAGATACTTTGACAATTAAGAATATGCAATGTGAAAACGTTTCATGTTAGTAGATTGCAAAATATTGATATTTGACATTTTTGTCACATGCTAACCAGCTTCATCATTCCTGGAAATAAAACAAAAAACAAAATTTGTCCATGCAAAACCAATACAATCTTTTAATACAGTCATTTGGTAGCTTTGACCAATAAACACCACATGAAGGTTTAAAAACTGTGGTCATAGTCATGTTGCAGTGTTTCCGCAACTGCGCAAATATGACACTCTCATTTTGGGTATCACTGTTTCACCTCGCCTACAGGTTTACAGCACCACTTGACAGTTCCAAATCATACCTTATCTAAATGCACTTAAAATAAGCTTTCAAATGATATCTAATGTAGGTTTGTAGGGTGGGTACATTAAACTCCAAAAATATGGCACATGACATTTTTCTAGGAATTAGACTGAAATCAACCTTCATATTGGTAAGATGACCTAGCAATTGAAGGTTCCCTATTCTATTACCAGATAATGCCTTTCATCATCATTGGATAATGGCATAATTATACTTCCTCTTCTAGGGATGCCCCACCTTTAGTATCCTGCTACTGGAAAAATAGAGAAATGGCCAGGCCATTTTCAGCCTAACCTTTTCTGTCAAATACACTGTAGTTTTGTAAACTGGTGACTAGCAATTATACAAATCAAAATATATCATTATATTCTCTAGTTATAAAGGTTATATGACAGTATGTTGTATGCTATGCATATCTGAGTAATTACTAAAATTATTAACACTGTCATTTTGTATGATCACTGGTTTGAGTTACATTTCTTTTGATAATATAGCTTGAAAAATATTTTCTGTTGCTCTGGGCATGATACTGTATTGCTACACAATTAATGGGCCAGATTTACTTAACACAAGACTGGATGAGGGGCACATACAATTGTGACACATGCCACTACAGTTATCTTGCACGTAGATTGGGCACACTAGTGTGTGTGTGTGTGTACGTACAAGTCTAGGCTTCTGTCATCTTGAAACTCTGGGGTTAAATCTATCCTCACATCCAAATTCTTCAAAGTCACAAAATATGTATGCCCATTCCAGAGTCAAACACTATCCCTCTAGCTTTGTCTCTCATATCTTTAAGATTCATCTAGTTTATCATTTCTTAAGATTACCAAACATCTTGTCTCCTTTCTTAGATGTTGATAAATGTAAAATCCAACATGGAACAGTTGGCTGATGATCTTGACAAGCAGGACTGAAACTATGTACATTTCAATGGTCACTCAGAGAATTATACTACAGTACAAAATAGTTCCTATTGTGAAGACTTCGGGTTTTTTTTAAAATAGAATCCTTACATATATGTTTCTACGAAATTTACTGATTAACATTCATAACATACAAAGTGGATCCATTGCTTCATGCCAAATCAAGCACCAATCAGTAGATGTACAATTGCTTATGTCGTTCTACAAATCTCTGTAATCCAAAAGCTGCAAAAACATCTTAGTCAGGCATCTTCTCCACTGAGGTACTATACTTCTGCAGTTTCAAACTCAAATTCAAATACAAAATCATTCCTATGAGCTTTGTCTAGCTGAAGACATTTAGGTTATGTATATGCATGAACCAATACCTCACTGAAAAGGCTTCCATTCACATAAGAAATCCAGAGCTTCCAGAAGTTGGGGAGCTGAATTACAACAAGTTTTGTCAACTTTTCAACAAATGCAACTTGTTGAGGAGCTTTACAACGCCAAGCTAAAGAGGAAAAGAGAAAGAATAAATAACTTTGAATTGATAATAAAAGCTATTTTAAACATGCTGCTAGAGTGTGATCTAAAAATAATGGATCTTTCATGCATATCTATAATCTCTCAGGTGTGAATGGCAACATTTTACGACTTGGTCCATATGGCATACAGCTTGTGTACGTGCAAGATTTATTTCCATATATTCTTTTGAGGGGGTTGGTACTATAAGTATAATATGTCTTCTATGTAGAGGTGCTCGTATGGCCCCACTGAATTATATTGTACATCCTAACAATCCACTCGCATAAATCTGTCTTTAAACCAAGCTAAATGATAACTGAACAGGGAGGATCAGAGGCTTAGCCATTAAAATATAGAGTGGGGGAAGGTTGGAATGTAGGCAGTACAATTGTCTTGAGATTAAGACAAAAGACTGGGAAATGGGAGATCTGAGTTTTATTTCCAGATCATCCACAGACTTCCAGTGTGATCTCACTCATCAACCTCTCCACAATTTCATTAGCGAAGTCTCAGTTTCCTTCTCTGTAAAATGGGGATGGATACTGACATTGTAGGTGGGAGGCTAAATTCATTAATATTTGTAAAGCAATTTGAGACTCTTGGATGACCAGTACTATTAGAAGTTCAAAAAATCATAATAAAAGTAAGTATAGCACTTCTCACTTGGGACATGAGACCAAAAAATAAGAGAAAAATTATCTGAAGTTGCATAAACCTCTATACAATCTTGGCACCTTAACCATCACTAGACATCAATAGAGTCACAACTTTGGGAACATGGGGGAAGAGGTGGATCTTCTCCCATTTTCTTGTCAGGTGAGAGATGGGAGAGAGGAAATACAGGAGATGGTGGATGAGCATGGAAAGTGGAGGTGAGATAGGAAACTTCCATCTCCAGTCATGTTTGTCTTCCCCATCTTGACTTTCTTCATTTGATTATCAGAGCTATGTTTCTTAGCAAACTATTCTGCATCAATAAATAAATGTTGCATGCTTTTTACATCAAGAATTAGATTCCTGCAAACTATGTGGGCATGAAGAAGTCAAAGATCTTCAAACTGATTACAAAGAGGACCTGAGATTTTCTTGTATAGTCTTAGGTCTTTCACAAATTACACAGTTAAAGAGTGTGAAACTAGTTTACATGATTCCATGGGAACATGGAAGACTACTGGATAGCTTATGGTATTTGTCTTTAATCTAGTACATAAATATTGATCATATAGCATAGAAAGTCACCAATTAGACAAACATGAGCCCATATAAAACTGGCTGATTAGCTCCGCTGCCAAGGGACGAAAGATGCAACATCTCAGGTGGGGACTTCTGGTGTGGGAAGTTAGAAGGCTCAAAAATCTACCTTATAATAGAAAAAACCTTAAGTAGTCATTACTGTGGCTGCATCTGTCCAAGATCAGTGCATGATGTCCTTTATGCATGCTGTAGGACCTAGATATTATTGAGTTAAAGCTGTAACTGAAGCCATACTTCAAAATTCCTTGCAAATCTATGTTCAAGTCAGAGTCAATGTAATTTGAATTCACTATTTTGTATTCAACTTTCTTTGAATTTGTTCCAGAATTCACTGCAGCCATAATGATGCATCATGCTAGTGAATAACATGGATAAACGAATCCTCTGAGCAATGACATCAAGTTTTGGCCTAAATATGCTCTTTAATATCATAAACTTTCTATGATGTAAATGTAGATAAATTACATGTAACCAAGGGCAAATAAGCAAAGAAAAGTATAATAGTCCTTAGTGCCTCCATTTCAGGATCTCAAAGTGCAAAAAAATAAAATAAATCAAAAGCCTTTTCTCTAAGAACATAAGGTAGCACAGGCAAACAAAACTAAAAGGAATGGGTAAGATTATTCTAGAATTCTTATGGAAGAATTTTTGGCAGCTTCATAGTATGGCTGGAAAATGTTTTAGTTCATATTGGTAACAAAGTCAAAAAGAAGTTTAGGCTTTTCCTCTTGCGTTTATATGAGATTAACAAGGGGCTTGATGGGACAAGTCCACCATACAGACTGTCCTTTGAAAAATATGTAAGCAACGATAGATCTTGACTTTTATCTTGCAGAATTTATTACTATTTTTATAGTAACCAAGAGTGTGCTAGACATTTTGCAAAAAAAGAAAGACAGTGCATTGTCTTATCCCACATTGTTTGAAAACTAATTTTAATCATGGAGATGGAGGGAGGAAGGACAATGGAGACAGCAATAGAGTCATGTGCTTACTCCATTTTAGCATATGGATATTTTGGTGATTCTGTTTAATTTATATTTTTCCTGTGAATATTCAGCATAAAAAGAATATAAAACAATGTTATAAACTTGCATTTAAAGAATAAAGATAAATGACACAATTAATCACAGCATTTATTTAAATATTTTGGATGTTTTCTACATTTTCAAATGTACTGATTTCAATTACAACACAGAATACAAAGTGTATAGTGCTCACTTAATATTTATTTTTGATTACAAGTATTTGCACTGTAAAAAAACAAGTCCACTCAGCCCTACTTCTTGTTCAGCCAATCCCTCAGAGAAACAAATTTGTTTATATCTGCAGAAGAGATAATGCTGACCGCTTCTTGTTTACAATTCACCTGAAAGTGAGAACAGGTGTTCTCATGGCACTGTTGGAGCCGGTGTCTCAAGATATTTACGTGCCAGATGCGCTAAAGATTCACATGTCCCTTCATGCTTCAACCAGCATTCCAGAAGACACACGGCCGTGCTGATGACGGGTTCAGCTCAATAACAAACCAGAGCAGTGCGGACTGACGCATGTTCATTTTCATCATCTGAGTCAGATGCCACCAGCAGAAGGTTGATTTTCTTTTTTGGTGGTTTGGGTTCTGTAGTTTCTGCATCAGAGTGTTGCTCTTTTAAGTCTTCTAAAAGCATGCTCCATAACTCATCCCTCTCAGATTTTAGAAGGCACTTCAGATTCTTAAACCTTGGGTCGAGTGCTCTAGCTATCTTTAGAAATCTCACATTGGTACCTTCTTTGCGTTTTGTGAAATCTGCAGCGAAGGTGTTCTTAAAATGAACAACATGTGCTGGGTCATCATCCAAGACTGCTATAATGACTGCACCACAACTAAGGTGCGGCAGAGTTTGTCTGGGGCTTACCTGAGAAGGACAGTTCTGCTTTATGGTGGCTGGGGGAGGGGGGAAGGAGGTCAGAAACTGCTGTAATAAAGGTGCTTGGTGGTCAGCTTTGAAGCAATGACTCATTCCCTTCCCCCCCCGCCCAGGAATGTGAGCTCTGAAGGGCATAAAGGTATGAAACCTGGGTGGGGCAAGTCTGTTCCACACAGCGAGTAAGCCAGCAAACAGGATCGTGAAGCAGCATGGCTCCAGGGGCATGGAGAAGGGTGAGCTCAGGAAAAATGGGGGCTGTTACTCCCCCAGCCCCAGAGGCAGGGAAGGGCAAGCAGAGGCAAATTACAAGTAGGACACAAGGGGTGTGATTTAGCAAGTGAAGCTGCTGCTAGGTGTCTGCTGCAGTCACTAGACAGCGGGGAGGGTGGAAAGAAAGGGAACTAGCATCCCCTTGCCCCAGGTACTTCCACCCATAGACAGGCTAGAAGTTGCAATTGGGGAGGGTGAATTGGCAAGCGAAGCTAGTCAGTGTCTGAAACAGTGTCTGGGAGGGGATGGGGGAGGGGAAGAGGGAGACAAGGGAATTTAACTGTTTCATGTACCAGCCGTGCTGCAAGTAAATGTATGGGCTATCAGGCTGCAATTCTTTCTGGCTGTGAGCAGGTTGCTGCTCAGGTGTCTGTACCTTTGCCAGAAAAGGGACAAGCAGAGGCAGCAGCTGCAGCACAGGGCAGTCCCAATGGAGCCCAAGGGCTGGAGGGGGACCCAAGGGAGACAGTATTGCAGCAGGGACAGGGGGTGCTCACCAGTACAGTGGCTGTTAATGCTCAGGGTGGTATATTTAATAACCCAGGGCAGCCTCATGGACTGAGGGAGGGAAATGACGGAGGGGAAGCATCCACGCATGCAGGTGGGCAGGCTGTGTGGTCTAATGAGGTAGTCAACGGAGCTGTGCAGCAAATGGTCAGTGAAATTGTTTCTGAGGTTTTCTCCACAGCATTACAGCGCTTCCAAAGGGCATGAGGTCACCCAGAACCAGGATATTCTCCTCCACTGAACACAAGGGATGGCATTAATGTTGATCCCAGGGGTGAGTGTGATCTGAACCAGACAGAGGTTGGGGGGATGGGTGGCAGAGGTGGTATCCGGCCTTCCAGCCTGGCAAGAGGTGGTAGTTGCAGGGGCCACAGCGAGGTGCAGGGACTGTGCTCAATCAGCCCGTCAGTGAGTTCACCTGAAGGGGACAGGAGTGAGCCTGAGTAAATACTCTGGGTCCAGGAGTTGGAGGTCCAGAAGCCTGGGCAGATGTACCCAGAGGTGACACCTTCAGTGGGGGCACTGATGGTATTACACAGCTGCTGCAAGCTAATTTGCATTTACTGCAGCAGCTTCAGGCAGTTAGGTGTGAGGGGTCTGCACAGGGTGACAGGGCAGGCCCAGCATGGGCTCAAGTTTGGGCAGCAGAACAGGGACAGGCTCCCAGCAAGGGTAGCGAAGCCCGCCCCTGGGCACATGGGGACTCATCGGCCATCAGGGAATGTAACCTCATGGGACAGAGTAGAGACTCCGGGGGGGGGGGGGGGGGGGGGGGCAACTATGCGGGAGCAGGGCTCTGTGGAACTCCCTCCATGCAGTCCTGAGTACGGTTCTGCCGGGGTGGCTGACCCGATAGTTCACCTACGCAGTACAACTAACGACAAAATCCTGAGAGGCAAATACGTGGATATATTATCCCTATTGCACAGGGAGGTGTTGACAGACAGTAAACATGGGCAAGGCAAGCAAAACAGCGAGCTGCCCAAGAGGCCAAGGGTGCCTAGAACATGGGAAAATTGGGAGGCTGCCTTCTTCATCTGTGCAGGTGTTATAGTATAGGCCTACCCAAAGAGGAGCCCTGCCTTGGTTAAGTATATGGACATAAGTAGGCGGGCACAAAATGTGGGGCATGTCCTGGTTTAATTATGATGAGCAGTTTCAATTAAGGGCAGCAACACAAACTGGGATAAGGTGGGACATACCTCAGCACACACAGTGGTTGAAGTGGATGATACCCAAGGGGCCAGGAGTTCACACAGACAGTGATTTGTTCATACCGCAGCAAGCTCGGGAGGGGCCTGAGGCACATAATAATATTTGCTGGGCATTTAATGATGGTGGTTGTTTTCGAAGCACCTGTAGATACAGACATGTTTGCAGGACATGTTTTGGGACCCATTCAGCCCATTCTTGCTAGAACGGGAAGGGAAGATCACAGGGAGGAAACAGGAATGGGGGTGGCACAAGCGCCAACCGCAGGTTTGGTGTGGATGGAACAGGGTGTGGGACACAAAGCACAAGCTGGGGAGGGGGACAAGTGGTGCAATGGGCACGGGCTCCAACGCCAGTTAAGCTGGATGTGTTAAGGATTCTCCTATGGGATTACCCTAACAGGGCAGATGGGGCATATTTGTAGGAAGGGTATTCAGCAGGATTTCGGATCCCTTTTGTGGGAAATAGGACTCATTTGATGTCAAAAAATGTAAAGTCGGTAGCTGGAATGGGACATATTGTTAAAAAAAAAGATTGCACAAGAATTAAAGGAGGGCAGGATAGCTGGGCCATTTGATCAATTGCCTATAGCACATTTGAGAGTTTCCCCCCAAGAAGACCCCAGGGACATACCAATTAATTCATCACCTGTCATATCCACAAGGTGGCTCTGTTAATGATGAGATAGACCTGGCTCTATGTTCCATACGCTATTCCTCCATTGATGAAGCAGTTCATATCATTGGGGCGCGTGGTCCTGGGGCGCTAATGGCTCGTAGCCCACCTTAACCCTCTTACAAGGGTGGTGGATGGTAAGGTCCAAGCCATGGGTTGGCTGATATTTAATTAACGCTTATTTTTTTAATGAGTGTCATCAGCATGGAAGCACGTCCTCTGGAATGGTGCCCAAAGCATGAAGGGGCATACGAATGTTTAGCATATCTGGCACGTAAAGACCTTGCAATGCCAGCTACAAAAGTGCCATGCAAATGCCTGTTCTCACTTTCTGGTGACATTGTAAATAAGAAGAGGGCAGCATTATCTCCTGTAAATGTTAACGAACTTGTTTATCTTAGCGACTGGCTGAACAAGAAGTAGGACTGAGTGGACTTGTAGGCTCTGAAGTTTTACATTGTTTTGCTTTTGAGTGCAGTTATGTAACAAAAAATAAATCTACATTTGTAAGTTGCACTTTCACAACAAAGAGATTGCACTACAGTACTTGTTTGAGGTGAATTGAAAAATACTATTTCTTTTATCATTTTTACAGTGCAAATATTTGTAAGCAAAAATAATATACACTTTGATTTCAATTAAAACACAGAATACAATATATATGAAAATGTAGAATACCATCCAAAATATTTAATAAATTTCAATTGGTATTCTATTATTTAACAGTGCAATTAAAACTGTGATTGATTGTGTTTAATTTTTTTTAATCGGATTATTTTTTTTGAGTTAATCACGTGAGTTAACTGCAATTAATCGACAGCCCTAGTAAAAAATGATTCTTCCTTTATGGCTCTTTATGATGTATAAAAGATAGATTCAAAGTTTGTTTCCTACTTGGCTTGTTTTTAAACTCAGAAACAGCAAGACTTTATTTCTCGGCTTTTGTTGGATAGCTAAGCGGGATACTAACACCATAATAGAACGAAACCTTAGCTGTAGCTTCCTCAGCTTCTAAGGAAAAGGTGTGGATGTTGAATTTTTATACCAACTGTTCGTCAGAATTTGCCCTTACACAAAAACTAAAACAACCCCCCAACCCTACTACAAAGTTTTAAACTGGCTGACTAAAAGTACTCTTCCCTGTAAGGAAGACCTGGATACAAAGATACAAATTCAAGTTTCAGCCACCAGTGATCTCACTACTCGGGGCTCAATGGGACTTAGGTCTGGTCTACACTGGGGGGGGGGGGGGGGGAGTCAGTCTAAGTTACGCAACTTCAGGTACGCTATTTTCGTAGCTGAAGTGACGTACTCAGAGCTACTTACCATGGTGTCTTCACTGCAGTAGGACGACTGCTGCCGCTCCCCCATCGACTCTGCCTATGCTTCTTGCTCCGGTGGAGTACCAGAGTCGATGGGAGAGCATTCAGCGGTCGATTTATCGTGTCTTCACTAGACACGATAAATCGACCCCTGCTGGATCGATTGCTCCGGAAGTAAGTGTAGACATGCCTTTAGACTCCTACATCATGGGAACTTAAAAAAAATTGGTTTTCATGTGCTCATCCAGTTCCTGGAAGATAACAGGGAGCTAGGCTATGGACAGCCAGGTAAAATCAAGGCATGCAATCTTATTTTCCCTGTTGGGTTTATAGGATCACAGAACCAGGCCTGGAGGCGTTAAGTAACAGAGGAACATTTAAATGCAGCTGGGATTCTTATTACAGAGACCAACAGACTGATATGATAAAAATAAGAAAGTAGTTCCTAATGTGCAGGGAAACTCAACATGGAAAGAGACTTTGTTGCCTTGACTGTAACTTGGAAAAGGAGACTTGGATTTGGACCTAGTTTTTATCTCAGCAAGGGGAGGACTGCTTTGGTTTGATGTTTTTTGCTTCAGTAGGAGGGGGATTTTTATTTAGGATTTTATCTATATGGTGAGGATAACTGTCCAGTTTTGTGGGCTCCTCCTTGACTGATCCCATCATGTAATAAGCACACACCCTTTTCACTTTGCAATTTACCTTTAAGAAACTTCTATGTCTTTATAGAGTAGTAGAGACAGAATATGAAAATAACTTTCATAGACATATATTATTCTGTTATGGACTGGTGGCTCATTTTCTGTCAACACACTAAAACAATGAATATGATTACCCTCTATCAAATTTGAATATTTGGGGAATACACAGTAAAAATACACAGGCCTAGGGATTTGTCAGAAGTAGATTTTTATTTTATAAATGAAACTGATGCTTACTGTCATCACGACCCGACTGAAAGCTGCTGCCCCTTTTCAGCGAAGCAGTCTGACTGAGATGACCAAGTGGAGACGGACGCACATCACTGTCCAGGTCTAGCATGGGGCTATGTAGCAACGAATTGCCTGAAAGACAGTATCAGAGGGGTAGCCGTGTTAGTCTGAATCTGTAGAAAGCAACAGAGGGTCCTGTGGCACCTTTAAGACTAACAGAAGTATTGGGAGCATAAGCTTTCGTGGGTAAGAACCCACGAAAGCTTATGCTCCCAATACTTCTGTTAGTCTTAAAGGTGCCACAGGACCCTCTGTTGCTTTCTGAAAGACAGTGACACAGTTATTAATATATTTATTTTCTTATGGAACTCCAATTTCATTTGCAGAGGGACTGTGTCAGGTTCAAAATTATGTAATAAAAATATGTCTTCAACCTAAGAAAGAAATGATTGTTCATCCTGTGCAGTAAGTACAGTTCTTCGAGATGTGTGTCCCTATGGGTGTTCACTCTAGGTGTGCTTGCGCTCCTTGCGCATCCGATCGGAGATTTCTCATAGCAGTGTTCATTCAGCCTGCGCATGTGTGCTAGTCAGCCCTGTGCCATTGTTATATAGCACTGTGTGGGTGAACCGCCCTCAGTTCCTTGTCTACCATGAAGCCCTATAGCAGAGAACTCCAAAGCGGAGGGGAAATAGGGCGGATAGTGGAGCACCCATATGGACACATATCTCTAAGAACTACAGTTACTGCACAGGGTGAGCAACCATTTCTTCTTCTTCTTCAAGTAGTGTCCCTATGAGTGCTTCACTCTCGGTGACTACCAAGCAGTTCCCCTTTAAGGAGGAGGGGGGATTTGTAGTTGAGTCCAATACAAAACAGTACAACTGAGCCAAACACAGTATCGGAAGCAGAGTTGTGAGTTATCTCGTAGTGTTCAGCAAACGTATATATTGTAGCGGATTGACATATTTCCGTAATAATGGGCATGTTTTGAGACATGCCATACAGATGGAAATGGACCATGTAGAGAGAGTTCATATGTCCAAAGGTGCTTGAATATTATGAGATTCATTGCAAGGATTAATGCAATCAGTTATCTACATGGAAAATCTTTGATTAGAAATTGCAGACCCTTTTGATCTATCTGCAAGCAAGACAAACAATTTGGGGGTCTTTCTGAAGGTTTAGTCCAGATAGAAGGCCTGGGCTCTTCTGATGTCAAGGACGTGCAACAGTGCCTCTTGTTTATCTAGGTGAGGTTTAGGGTGGAACACTGCCAGGTGAACGGGTTGGTTAATATGGAACTCGGAGGAGACTTTAGGTAAAAATTTGGGGTGTGATCACATGACTTTGTCCTTAAAAATACTGTGAAGGGGAGGCATGACATACGGGCCCTTATTTCCCCAACCCATCACGCTGACATGATGGCTATCAGGAATGTCATTTTCATTGATAAATGGAGAAGTGAGCAGATAACCATCAGTTCAAACAGTGGTCATGTAAAGCATTTAAGACTAGACTCAGGCCCTAAAGCGAAATAGGATGCTTGACTGGGGGGAAAAGATTTACGATCACCCTGAGGAACCTCACTGTGATTGGGTGGGCAACAGTGAAAGAACTCTCTGTTGGAGAATGGAAAGTCATGACGACTGCCAGGTGGACTCCAACAGAGCTGATTGATAACCCCAAACTTTTTAGTGTTAGGATATAGTCCAGTACATCTGGCAGTGATGAGGTCATGAGTGAACTATGTTTGAGGTCACACCAACAGACAAATCTGGTCCATTTTTTGAGAGTATATGTAGTGAGTAGACAGTCTTCTTCTGTGTAATAATACTCTCTTTAACTCTTCTGAGCAGGTCATTTCTAACCCCACAAACCATCGCCCAATCACACTTTGAGACAAAGCACTCCAAGACTGGGGTGAAGGATCTTCCCGCTTTCCTGAGAGAGGAGATGAGGAAAGGCCTGGAGAGTGACTGGTGAGCAAACAGCCAGCTGATTCAGGTAAGGAAGCCATGTTTGTCTGGGCCAGGTTGGAACTATAGGATGACTCTAGCTTTGTCCTTTTTTATTTTGAGTAGAACTTTGGCTATTAGAGGAGTCAGTGCAAATGTGTACAGTAGATTCGATGACCAGTGAAGGTGAAAAGCATCCCCTAGGTACTGGGGACCCATCCCACCCATCCCAGGATCTTTGAGCCATATGGGAGTTGCTAAACCTTCTTTTGCAGGCAGATGTATAGATCCCAAGAGAATGCAAAGTAGATCTGGAGTCCTTTAATGTGCGCAGAGATTCATCCAAGCTGTCTGCAAACAATTTAGACCAATCAAAAGGGAGGTCTTCCACCGTATTCTGGATCTCCTGTGGAAATCCAGAGAGATGGAGACAGGAAGTCCATCTCATAACTACCGCTATAGAGACTGAATGGGCGAGATCTGCAGGGAGTCGGCAATTTTCCTGATCAGATTCTGAAACTGCTTAAAACCATTTGCAAAGATGGAGGAGGCGTAACTGCTTCATCCAGAGATGAAGAGGAGATGACGGCTGAAGGAGAGACCTCTTCATCAGCTCTAGCTTCCTGCTCCTCAAAGATTTCTTCTTGAGGATCATGCCTCCTGGAAAGGGCAGATGATGAAGGCTGCCTAGCTATCTATGATGGTGGTGCTCAAAACCCTGGAAAATTGATGGCAATAGGCCGCCCAAGGGTCCCAGTAAGACAAGGTGGTGGTCCATAAGGCATAGGAGGGGGCACCCATTGGTGCTCAGACCAGTGAGTTGGTGGTTGCGCCCTTGTGTCACAAGTGGTTATAGGCTTATCAGACACTTCTGGAAAGGGGACCTCTGTAGGGGTGAGGAGAGCCTTAGACCAATATTTGGGAAACTCAGGCAAGGCCTTCATCAGAGTCCTCCTCCTCAAACTCACTATAGAATGGTGGAGCAGCCTGAGAAATTTAGGGTGAAACCATAAGTACCAGGTGAATTTCTGGCAATCTTGATAACCTCAGTACCGAAAATATGTTGGAGTCAAGCAATGGAGAATCGGGCATCTTGGGTACAGCCAGGTCTCAGGGAAAACGAAACTCCTGTGGTACCGAGTATGCGGTCATTACTGAGTCCATGGTGTGCACAAAGATAATAGTGGCCGAGGGAGCAGATGATACTGTGAATCTCAGCCACTCTGAGGGAAACATGGTAGGAGCCCAAGTAGGTTTCTTCAGTACCGATGAAGCAATGGAAGAGCGCCTCTTGATACTTCAGTCCACTGATGGTACTGATGATCTCGCCTGACCAAAAGCTTTGCCCTCTTTCAATCTAACGGTGCCCTTAGTACCTGAGAAAGCAGCAGCTTCATGAGGACCAAACTGGAGAGCAGATGGCGCTGAAGTAACTGAAGACACTGACAACCTTGGTTTTTTTGAGGTAGATTCTATACCTGGTAAACTCAGGACATGGGCTTTGGAAGACTTATGAGAGGAGTTTTGCGTCTTCCTCTTAGATGTCCTCGAGGAATGTGGCTCAGAGACAGTGGAGGCAGGAGACTTGCTCAGAGACTGGTGTACAAGAGGGGTCCCTTGGCTGGGTCAGAAGCTGGGCATAGTGAGCTCTCCATCATGAAGAGACAAAGTTTGATCTCCCTGTTTTTTTCTGGCTCTAGATTTCAATATGAGACAGAAGTTACACTTCTGGGCAATGTATGATTCCCCGAGGCAACGGATGCACTGGGAGTGTTGGTTGTTTACCGGGACTGCCTCCAGGCACAATAGACAATGTTTGAAATTGGGAGAACCAGGCATAACCTCTCAGTGAATAAGAACAACCTTATCTACTAATATCTATGTATATAATATATATACATATATATTATATTTTAAAATGTTTAATACTTTTTTTAAAACTAGAAAGCTAATGTTACTGCTAATTACACTAAGAACTACTATAAACTTAGTAGTACAATAGAAACTGGGATGCAGTTGAGGCAATCTCAACAGGGACAACTGCCAGAGCTCTGTCTCAGGCTGAGGAAAGTGAGAAGGAACTGAGGGCAGTTCACCTGTTCGCTGCTATATAATAATGGCATGGGGCAGGAGGCTGACTAGCACACATGTGCAGGATGAATGGACATTGCTATGAGAAATCTCTGATCAAAGGTGTAGGGGGCGCAAGCGCACCTAGAATGGAGAACTCATAGGGGCATTACTCGAAGAAGAACAAATACTTACCTTACAGTAACTGGTTCTTCAAGATGTGCTGTCCACATATATTCCACTGTTGCTGCGCATGCACCCGGTGCAATCTAGTTCAGATTCTTTTGGCTAGCAGTGTCTGTTGGGGACCAGGCCTAGGGAATAAAGGATGGGGCAATCTCAATCCTCCCTTCAATTCCTTTACCATTACAGAACCCAAGTGTTATGACTCTGTAGCAGTGGGATAGATGGGCAGGCCATGGAATATATCTGGACAACACATCTCGAGGAACCACAGTCACTGTAGGATAAGGAACCATTTCTTCTTCTTTAAGTGCTTGTCCATACATATTCCACTGTGATTAATTTAACAGAGGTGGGTGCTACCAAATTATAGCAGACTGCCAGGTCTACTATAGTTAAGGTTAAGACCAACTTTCTGTTTAAAGCTCAAATCTTCTGAGGGCTCTAAAATCCTCATGGTTACTCAGACTGCCCTTAAATCTGGTTTGCCTCATGGGGGCATATGAAGACCTAAATAAATAATCCTCTGAGAACTGGAAGGAATGCTGTTCAAGCCTGATTAACTGCTCTAGGTTTCAGAACATTTATATGAAGATGAGCTTCCTGATGAGATGAGAGGACTTCAGTTTGTAAGTTGTCTAGCTCCCCATCCTATATTGGAGACATCTGTTTCTAGAGTCTTGGATGGTAAAAGTGCAGAGCAGCATACTCCCTTACAAAGCTTTTCAGAATCCTTCTATCAGTTTAAGGACAATAGGACTTCTAGCGTGACCTGCAACTTCTTTTCTAGGTGATATGTGATGAGCAGATATACTGACTTCAACTATTCTTCCGTGTAACAAAGTCTGGCATGCTGAGTTACGCAAGTGCAGGAGATCACGTGCCCTGGAAGTCTGAAGCAATGTTGAAGGATGTACCTGC